TAGCATTTTGCAGGTAACAGAAGGAAAATTAAAATCATAAAAGTTAATTAACAAATTATAATAATTTCAACTTTCTAAATATAAAAATATTTTTGATTAAATATTTTCCGCAATGAATTTTTCCAAATTTTAATTCTAAAAATAGCTGTCAACAATTAATTGAATTGGCATAATCGAAAAAAAGGAAATTAAGTTTTTATCAGAAAGAATTATTTTTGTTTTTTATGAATAAATGCTAATTTTTTCTGCAAGAAATTTTCGAAATTTTTCAAACGAAAGTTTGCGATTTCTAAATTAATTAATCGCTTTTTTATTAGTAATTAATTTTATGGAAATGGCAGAAAATAATTAACAAAATTAAAATTTTATTTATTTTAAATTTCTCATTTTTAATTTTTTAATTATAATTATTAATTAAATTTATATTTTACTTATTTGGAAAGAAATTTCGATGGAATAATTCAAATTTATTGGATTGATTGGAAATTACTTTTTTCTGTCTTCTTTTAACTTTCACTTTCATCTTTCTAGAATTTACATTTCCTTTAGTTGAATATTATTTTATACTTCAATACCTTTTGCAAGGCAATTATGAAAATATATTTGTTTCAGTTGGATACAGTCTTCAACTATCATTCCAATTAGCAGAATCAATATAAGAGGATATAATTTTGCTTCAGTTGAATATCTTTTTGATTGCAGCTGTCATTTTGTAGATTCTATATAAAAAGTAATAAGGTGTAGGACAAAATTATATTTTGTTGAATACTTTCTTAATCGCAAAAATTTCATTTTATAGAATCTATAAGAAGAATGTTGAAGTATGAGATATAATTTAACTAAGTCGAAAAAGTGCAATTACATGGGAAGTATCAATATCCCAAATAATTAGATTGCATTTTGCTTCCTTAAATTTGATTAATTCTTTTAATCTCTTCTATATTACTGTATTACTTTAAAAACAAGAAAGAATATGTATTAGACTTTCAAATTTACAAATGAACAAATGAGTGATAGTTTGATTATGCCAGGAAGGAGTGATAAATATCAGTGAAATGTGAAAGAATGGGCGTCATCATCATTTCAACCATTTCATCCCTTTTTTATCCTATTTTTGAAGAAAAACGAACATTACGATTGTTTCCAATTTTCGATATCCAATTACTCTCACAGCTACATTTTTACTCTTAATTTCGGTTCTTTTTGTGCAACCTAATGCTATTAGTAAGTTTTTCAACTTATCAACAAAATCGATAATTTTTCAGGAAATGAAATGTGTAAATTAAATGGTTATAAAATCAATATGAAATATGATAGAACTAATTTATTCATATTATAACTTAGTAAAACACATTTGCATATTTTGAAATTTTAATTAAGCCAGTTTAATATACATTTGATGATTTTTGAATTCAGAAAACATAAAAGCTTAGATAGAATTTTTTGGATAGAATTTCAGTAAAAATTGCCAAATATTCCGAATCGTGAGGAAATCTCAGATGTTGGCATGAAAGAGCACAGGATGAACGATGAGCAACGCTTATTCAAACATATTACCAAGAATTATGATGTTTCTGTAAGACCGGTTTGGAATGCGAGCACTGTTGTAAATGTTTTTATGGGTCTTACACTCACTCATATTTTCAATATTGTAATACTTTCCAACATTATCAAATTCTTACTTAAACGATAACAGATAATGATAGATTTGTTAATTGTACGAACTTATAAATATGGTTGACGAGAACNTGTTTTTATGGGTCTTACACTCACTCATATTTTCAATATTGTAATACTTTCCAACATTATCAAATTCTTACTTAAACGATAACAGATAATGATAGATTTGTTAATTGTACGAACTTATAAATATGGTTGACGAGAACTAATTCCGATAACTAATTTCTGCTATGAATAATTTTTGAAAGATTATTTAACCTTCGAATTTCATTACGAAACAAATTAATTTTCCCAAATAATATAATATTAAATTTAAAATTTTGATTAGATATTCAGAATGATAATTGAATTTAACATTTTTCTTTTTCCAACAAATATTTTTTAATTTTGAAATGTAAAGATATAATTTTGATATTTGTTGCCTTTTCCTTTATATTTCAGCCTAAAGCTATATATCATAAATTAAGACGAAAATTGTTTGAAAAGAAAATTTGAGCAAAAGAAAAACTGAAATAAAATTTAGCTAACGATTGTTTAAAGCTTAAACTATTTCGAATGACCAAAAAGTGCCATTCATATCAATTTATCATTTTATTTCATTTAAAATAAAAGAAGAAAAAATTCAATTTGTTTCAGAAGCAAACTAAACTTCTCAAATATTCCATTCCATTCTTCTTATTTTATTATCTTGGGATTTCATTCTTTATTCTCGTAAGATCGATTCCTATTTTGCTTTCCTATAAAAAAGTTAATTTTAAAATTGCTTTGGAAAAGAAGGAAAAATTGGAACAAGCAGTAGTGATAAATAAAGAATGAATACTATTCATTTTTGCAATTTAGCTATTTTAAAATTTTAATATGAAAAACTTCAAGGATGAAAGGAATCAAATTTTGACATTAAATGTTTGGGTTGAACAAAGTTGGCGTGATGAAAGGATTCGATGGAATCCAATCGATTTCGGCAATATCAGCAAACTAACAGTTGGCAAGAAGTATTTGTGGACTCCGGATATCGTCCTCTATAATAAGTCATTATTCAATATTTAACTTTTATCATAAACTTTCCAATGATTCAATTTAGTTTTCAAGTTTCGCATCTATTCATCAAATATATCGGTTCAAAATTTTGATTTCTTACCTCTTCTACCGTTAAATTTGTTTATTTGTCGTAAACTCGAAAGTTGGAAGCAAAACCATAAATGTAGCACGACAGAGGCAAACAATTACAATCTTTGATTAATTTAAAATCCGATCTTTTTCCGGAATATTCAATAGTGTTTCATACTACACTTACACAAATTCAATTTTAATTGGTATTGCAAATTTCAATTCTCATTTTCAATACAGTTTGATGAAAATTTCAATTGCAGTTTCTTATTCTTTTTTCAGTGCACGAGATTTTTCACGTGGTTTTGTTGACACCAATCTTCATATTTTGAGTAATGGCGATAGTATGTTTTGAGTATTTTTTTAAATTATGACAAATTGGATATGCAACCTATTAAAATTAAGATTTGCAAATATTTTTTGGAAAGTCTAACTTTCCAAATAAATAAATAATGTGACTTTGGTAGATAACTATTGGATTAGTAACCATTCATTCGCGTAGTTTTTGAATACTTAAATATGACGAAAATACACCTGCTATATGTCAGAACTAGAGATGCTACATTTTTTTATTTAATTTTATTTTCATTAAACAAAATTCCGCAGAAGTATTAAATATAATAATTAACTGAATAAGAAACAGCGGTTTATATGAAATAAATTTGAAGCGCAATGGGCACCTCCAGCAAAGGTTTACTCGATATGCAAATTGGATGTTAGATATTTTCCGTTCGACGATCAGCTCTGCATTCTTGAATTTGGGTCATGTAATCTAATCACTATCATTATTTCATAATTTTAGACCATTTTTAAATTTATAAATTATAAAGAAAACAACAAATGGTTTGAAAATGATAAGTGATGAATTGTTGCAATTATTTTTAGAAGGCGGAAAAATCGATAAATGAATTGAAATTGAACCGAACAGTTAGATTAAATACAGTCAAAACTATTGAATTGAACTCTCGAAATGATAATAGACTATATTAAAGTTGTAATTGCACTAATATTACTAATATTAATTACAAAGAAGATCCTGCTGAAAAGTGTCATCTATTAAATCATTTAATGTATGACACGTGATTACAATCTTGTCATACCATAATGATATGAAAATATTTTAAGTTAACGATAGTACCTTATAATTAATAATTAAACAAAAGAAAGAGAATGATGCTTAAAAGGAACTAAAAATAGACACTTTCAGCTTTTTAACACAATCTAATGTTATTTTCTAAATTTAATAACATACTTTGGATACTAAAATTAGGGATATACGATCAATCACAGTTGGATGTACAAATTATGGAACGATACGATGGTAAGAATCCGTTCACGCGTGATTCGTTTATCGAAAATGGTGAATGGGAGATCGTTGCAAATCGCACTTATAAGGTGTTATTTTTATACCGCATATTATATGCTACTGTAAACGTAAGTATAGGTAGGCTAAAATATCATCAGCAGATGTAAATTGGCATTTATATTGGCCCTAATAAGGTAAAACTTAATATTTGGCAGTTAACTGGCAGTTAACTTGAACTATCTAGCTTATACTGTTAACTTGAACTATCTAACAATTGGCAGTTAACTTGAACTATCTAACTTACATTGATATTCTAATAACTATCTTAAAACAAAAGAGTTTAGGGTAACAATATATTATTATCAGTCATAGTATTATACCAATATCAGTTTCAGGTATTTCGCAATCGACAAGCAACCTTTTCAACAATTGTGTTTGAATTGCATTTACGACGGCGGGTACTATACTTCATTTATAATATTATTGCACCATGTTTCATGCTTTCTGTAAGTTCCATGATAGAACAAATTCGAAAGTAAATAATTTACTGTCTATCATATATTTCAAAAATATGTATAAAGAAAGAAGCATAGTGCATTTTCAATCTTGACATAATTATTTCATTCATTTTTGAATAAAAATTCAAATGAAATTTTATTGTTTATTTATGCAGTAAGTTGTCTATCAATTATTTGAATTGCAATTAAATTAAGTAATTCATTTCAGATGTTAACAATGATGCAATTCTTACTACCATGTGAAAGCGGTGAAAAAATAACACTTGGTTTAACAGTATTATTGGCTTACTCCGTTTTCAGCTTTAACATTGCTGAAAATATGCCGGAAACATCAGAAGTTATTCCTCTTATCGGTAATTAAATCATTAATATTAAAAAAGAAGTAGAGTATTATAAATTGATAAATCGATGATATCAGTTATTGTTTCAAAAAAGAATGTCACAAAAATTATTTGATTGATACTGTAAGGATTGAACAATGTTGAAAATCGTTATCAAACATATCTATTTATATTATCTTCTGATGGAAAATTATTACAAATCTCAAATAATGAATAAACAAACAGATGAGTGGAAAAGAAAATAATTTAATCGATTTTTCAATTTTTTGATTGGAATTATTATCAAAAAAAATTTTCAAAAAGTTCCCATTCAATGTATTTTGATAATTAATTTAAAATTTGTGAAATTTTTGTTAGCAATAACAATAATGTCTTACTGATTAATATCTACCTTAAATGATTTTATGAGTAATAATAAAATTTTTTTAAAGGGAGGGTTACGATGAAATAGTTATGATAAAGGTTTGTTAGTTAACGGAAATTTGAAATTATGAGGAATAGAGTTGATCAGTTGATTGTCTCGTTAATCCCGGAGAATAATTTGGAACAGCAGAATCAATAAAGAACATTTTGAGTTCGGCGTTGTTCATTGAGCACTGCTAGTAGTAAATGGAACAATTGGTCATTTGATAGGCAAAACTATTGGTAAAAAGAGATCGTTTGGTCATTTGATATTAATCACTTACAGTATTCTTCGGAATCATAAATGGAGAAAATAAACAAAGCGTATCTTATCGTTTAACGGAGAATATTTGGAATAAACGATTTCTATAGCACAGATATTAAGAATTACAAAAATATTTTGATTATTTTAGTGATTTTCAGTTTTCTGACAAATTTAAATTCGCCTTGATAAATTTGAAAAGTAATTGCAAATTGGTATTTTAATTATTTATTGTTTAATGAATGAATAAACAACCATTTTTGGTAAATAATTTATTTAAAGATATAAATTTTAGGAATATATTTAATGGGAATAATGGCAATTTCGGGTCTAAGTGTTTGTCTATCAGTTATCGTTCTCAATATGAAACATAGCGCTGAACGAAATTGCAGGTTTTTAAATTCATTCATCATTGTCAACTTTTGAGTATGAAATTCAAAATTTGTTTTTCAAATTCTCACATATCTTCTGATTTTATTTAGACCGCCATATTGGTTAAATTTTATTGCTTATCGAATTCTCGGGCGCTTATTTGGGACAACGACACGAAAAACACGCCGAAAATTGGAATATACAAGCGACATGAAAGATTTGATGAGCAAAATTATTGTATTATATTTTTTAAATTTTTAAATTTTTTTCTCATGCTTTTTAAAAAATTTTCCATTTGTAATTAAAATATAAATTTAGATTTAATTAATTAATTTCATGATGTCAATCTATGCAAACCAATTTTCTAACTAATCTAAAATTTTTTTCGATAATTAAAAAAGCTATCAATTAATTTGCTTAAATATATGTGATAAATTATTAGTAGAAAAACAAATAACAATTATTCAAATTTCCCTCACGTAACAATGTTTCACGTGTGATTTCATCTTCATCAAAAAGGTCTATCTCTTCGTGAACATCCAATCTCACGTGAAATGTCATCTATAAAGCTAACATGTTTTTGATGACAGATATCGTAATATTTTCTGCTCCAAAGTTAAAAATTTTTTTTCAGATGGAAAGAATTGAAAATGTGAATGACCACGACGAATTGGTTGAGGAATGGAATTATATTTCGATTATCTTTGATCGCTTCTTCTTTTGCTGTATTTTTTTCCTCACCGGTATTGCTACCTTATTTTTGCTAATAGCTCCACGTTTCAGTCATCGGGATTTTGATATGGATTTCTGAACTTTTCCAATATTACATGTTGAAATGCACCATGGAACTTTTGTTTAAACGAAGAATTAAGTTGATAAAAATGACAAGAATGATTTATTCTCCAAATGAAAATCTGCATCGGAAAAGAAAATAATAATATTTATGCATTTCTTAAAATTTAATTCAACACTTCATCTCATTCCTAAATTCAATTTATTTCTAAATTTATCAGCCATATTTTCATGTTGTTTTATGAATGCTATAAATAAAATAATTGCACTTTTAACTTCACGAGGTGGTAAATTGCAATTAGAATTGAAAACCGCTGAATCAGTTAATTTTCTTCATCACCGCTGAATCAGTTAATTTTCTTCACCAATACGCTGTATTACAGATTTGAAAAAATAATCAGGAAATTTCAAAGTTCATTGATTTGTAAGTTTGAGATGAAGGAAGAGAGTATTATAGATGTTCGTCATAGAAGTACTAGTCATCTTTCGTCAATGGCTGGTACGTATACATATCCTTAAGCTGGGAAGAAGTGATGCCAGAATTGGCAGGTATGAAATTGAAGCGAAAGCTTTGGATCAATCATAAAGTGACATGAGATGATCTTACGTACACCATTTTTTGGATATATGGAGCAATAATGTGTGATCGTTTTTTATCTTATCAATAAACAATAGTGAAATAAGCTAAAGGTTACTTTAGTGACTTACATTTTATTTTATAGAATTGAGTAACTTTGCCTCACGTAATCATAATTAGTTATTCCGGTTTTTCCTATTGAAACATTGGTGATATATTGGAGTGAATGATAAGCTTAGAATATAAATCATTTCTAAAATTTAATGTGAAAAGAAACTAATTTGTTCTATTTTGAATAAACAAAAATTATTCATATTGTTAAGTGATTATGAATTAAAGCAATTTGGTATGTACTAAAGTTACTTCAATCCAACTGATAACAGATGATGAAAATTTAAATTTTCAAAATAAAAATTTTTATCTTCTGTTATCATCTGAATTGAAGGTATGCCAACGTATAATGCTGAACATTTCTTGGAGTATGAAATTAGACTTTAATTTAGTTTGTTGTTGCCTCGTTTGGCTGTTACTTAATAAGCCTAAACTTGAAATTGCTTACATTCGTTTCATACTTATTTTCAGAAAGTATTCTTTTAATAAGTAAAGGAGTAGTTTATTGTCTAATTAGACATTGAAACAGCAAATTAATGAATGTTACTACCAACAGGAAATGAATAATTGTATGTTTTATTGATATCATTGCCATCTGAATGAATAATTCCAGTCTGAGTACTGTGTTCTTCGAAATAAGTTGTTATTTTGATGGTATCTGCAAAATTTAATTTTTAAATTTATCAAGTAGTTGTAGTTTTACTCATTCAAAATTAAAATTCTTATGTTACACAAAATAAATAGCAATAAATTAATGTGCCATAATAAAGAGAATGGATGTAAACTTTGACTTGAAATACACAACTAAAAAAATTTAGATAAACATGGAGAGGTTTTAAAATTCAAATAGAGTTGAATTTCTTCTCATTTCGTTGATGATTTCAGACTTGACTCTAATATTGGATATATCTGAAGCAAAGTTTATTATATTTCCTCATTTAATTTATTATAAATTCACATGCCGAAAATCATCTACCAAACATTAATGAATTTTAATGAATTAATTAATGAATTAATGAATTAATGAATTAATGAATATATTGGTTAGAATGAAAAAGCAAACTATTCTAATTCAGAAAAATCTTCAATTTATATGATATTGTCAGTAAAAAAATTTGTTAAATCAAAGTTACCTTTTGAGAATTAGCTTTCTTCGAATCCCTATTATTCGATAACGATATATTAAGTTTCATTTCCTTACTGGGTAATGAATTTGAGTCTATGTTTGATTTCGTTTTCCTAAACATAATAAAAGTTACGAAATATTTGTCATGGTATCATATCAAGCAATCGAATCATTCCCAAGGAATCAAATAATCACTCGACAAATAGATAATAATGAATTCATCAAATAATTCTACAAAAACGAGCGATATTTATCATGTATGAGAAGTTCGTTCTAATTTCTGCTTCTCTTTATACCTTTTTTTATTACCAGATGATGAACGCTCTGATTTAACCAATACTTGAGGAGTTTCATTATCAGATTCGCTTGTCTGTAATATTTTTTTATATTCTAACCCAAACAGATACTGTTCTGAATTGCAGAAGATATGTTAATCGTATGAATTTCATAATAAGAGAATTGCATGAATGAATACTTTGAAGAATTTTTATAAGTATATTTGAAGATTTCATCCAAATAAAAAGGGGATAAAATAAATTGAAAAATAATTGGAATGATTAATGTATTTCCTACGTGCTTTTTAATTCATTAAATTTTCCTTAATAATACAATACAGTAAATGACAGGTGTGATTAGTTAAACAAAAAAAAAATTTGTAAAATTAGTGCTACCTGTTGCTCACGTTGATGATTTCGTATTTGATAAAATAATTTGCAAATTTTCATAACAGTGAAAAAAATCATCACAACAGTAAGTAATATGAGAGAAGCACGTAACATTGAATTTCCATTAGCAATCCATAATAAATCATTGCGCATAAGTTTTCCTTTTTGCTGTGAATTCATTTGATCAATTGATCGTTCAATGTCGATAAAATCATTTATTGGCTTCATTTCTCTTATCAAACTTATTTATAGCGAAAAAAAAATGCTTTGGTAGAGATTCTGTTGATAAATTTTGTTGATAAATTGATTATTTTTGTTTTTCAACAATATTATCTTTCAGAAATATTTCCAACAATTTGATTGAAAATTGAAATTTGATAACTTATAGAAATCTGAAACAAAAAAAAAAAAATCATATTTTAGATTTTATACAAAAAAAATTTGGCAATATCAACAATTTGCAACAAAATGTATCATTTCTGAAAGTTACATAAATGGAATGAAATATTGCATAGAGTACTTCAAATACAACCGATAGCAGGCATTAGGTAATTGTCGAAGAAACAATGATATTCAACTTTCCTCTTTCTTTTAAATCAACGATTATTGCAAAAGTTTATGCAAATTTCTGGAAACTATCCCACAATATACGATTGATCATAATGAAGCGGGAAAAACTGATTGATCCACATAAACAATGTCAATTATAATTAATTCTTTAGTTATCATAATTGTAAGAAATAATGATAGTCTGATGTTTGTTCTTCATTCGATCCCTCAATGATATCTTTAAGTTTTCGATCTCTTCACGTTTGTAGATGCTATTCTTCCTTTCATCTCTATTCTTTCACTTATTATCAGTGATAATTTTTGTTAATTTTATTTACCAACAATAATATGTCGTAGAATTTAAAGTACTCACAAAAACGTAATTTTCTCATCTATTCCGTATTAAAACAATGATATAATAAATAATTTAACATATAAAATATGTTATCTTTATTCAATCAATTCCATTAATTAATTCATTACTAATTGAAACTTCCCAATTGCTAAATTTGAGTATAAATAGAAATATTATTACAATATTAAATGATAAAATCAATTCAGCAAAAGTCGATTAATGCAAGAAAGAAAAGAATCAAAAATTGTGTCAGAAAATAGCGAAAGTATTAATTAAATTCATTCTTAATTTTCTTATGCAAACAATATGAGAAAACAAATATTTCCATCTATGAAAATTTGTTAAAATTATTTTCTAAAAAGTAAATTTAAATCGTCGAAATCTATTGCAAGTAAGTATTTTTGGTGTTTCAAGAAATTCCAAATACTTTTCCAAACAATCAGATTCTCATCGTTTCTTTCACTTACAGATTCTTAATAGCGATCAGATTCCTCTCATTTCTTTTACCTATCACTTTATTAATAGCACAAACTTAATGAAATTTCTGTCCTCCTAGTTACTATGAAATTAAAATGATTTTTCGTGTTATCAGTGCTATCAAACGACACTTGTATTTTATATTTCTTTATTCATTAGAAATCAATTTTAAAACAATTTCACTAAAGCTTTAAACATTATTGCAACATTTGTTTCACCTTTCCTTACAAGTAATTAGTAATACTTTAATGAGAATCTTTAGTGGATTGTTCAGAGTAATTAATTATTCGATAATTTGGTTTTTAATTGTTTAATTTCTAATTTTCATTTAGTATTATCAGAATAGAAAAAAAGAATATTACTGCAAATTAATTATATGTTTATTCTATGAATCTCAGATATTTAAGATTTCATTTTCCATTCAAAATACTTCCTTCATCTTTTTTCAGAATATGTTGAATTTAAAAAAATGGATATCAATTGAATCAGGCGCATACTTACCAAACAAATCAATTGGACAGATGATGAAAAATCGTGAGTTGGGAAAGCGTAGGAGACAGTACGGTGACTGTACAATGACTGCCTCAAACAGAAACGGTTCTTTCACTATGGCTGAAAAAGCTAATCTTGCTAATAGGTTTCTTAATTTTTTGTTTATTTTTTTCCAAAATGATCATTGATAGATAAAGATAAGTTATCAGTATTGTTATCAGAATCATTTCACTGATATATATGAAAACGTTATTTGAATGTTATTATTGCTAACAATGCTAGATTTTTTCCAAATCGAGATGACATGATATCCGTAAGTCAATGTACATTGTTACGCTGTATGCATTTGAATTCCGATCGATTGGTTTCTCTAAGTCAAGGTAAAATTTTGCTAGTAAAACTAGCTTTTCTTCATATACCTATTCAAGACAAGAGCTACCATTTTATACAACGTTTATTTGATCTGATAAAATTTTTATCGTATCAGTTAGTATTTAAAAATAACTCATTAGGAAATTAGATAAATGCTTCAAAAATTTGTTAATTAGACTATTGGAACTGAAAAATTAGCAAAATGATCATTTAAATTAATCTTCACTGAATGTTTTATCAAATATGTCAATTATTTTCATGCATAGTTGTATTTTGACCAATGATTAATAATGTTTAGATTCATAATTGATTGTATTTTACTTCGTTCCTTTGTTTTAAATGAATAATTGAAAATTTCTTTCAGATAACATTCTAAACTTTCATTTGCGAAATAGTTCACAACATTATGAATTGTTGAATAGAACTGACCTTCCAAGTGCTAATAGTAATGTTGTTGATATTGCTAGTGGTTCAATGGGTGAACATCTTGCTTACACAACACTTGACGCATACGGTATCCTAAATTATTTGCTTTCAATATAATAAGTGAACTGAATTATAATTTTAGAAAGGATAATATGACATCTGTAAGGATAGAAATGAATTATCATTAATAATAATGATTAATTAATTCCAGTTTACTACTTTCATATTGATCGAATACGACAGGCAGCACGTTGGAATTTATTTCATGCAATACAACCAATAGCAGCTTTACGATGGTAAATTATATCACTCTTATCAATTGGAAGAAAAAATTTGTTTCATTTTAAATTAAGCAAATGACTTTTTAATCTCTTTAAATTCCATTTTTTTTCGCTCATTCTTTTTTAACTAAAAAAATTTAAGGAATATATGTTCATCCATATGCTTCAACATGGATGATAACTATCTTTTAGTTGTTGAAGCAGGCGGTCGTATAAGCATTATAAGTACCAAAGAACCAAGTCGTTATTCAGTATGTCTTTTTGTTTTCAATGTTTGAAATTTTAACTTGCTCTCATAATCCTATGATTTTAGTAATGATTGAGAATTATATCAAATATCATGTGAAAATATCAAATGTGTATCAGGAAGTGTTTGAGATAATCGTATTTAGTTGAACAAACCGTAAATGCTATGTAAAACGCTTAGAATCAATGATGAAAATGTAAGATTGAATTTAGCGAATTAAAATATAAAAATTAAAGTATAAAGGTAATTAATTTCAGTTTCAAGCTCATCAAAGAGATATTAGTGCAATCAGTTCCTCCAAAGTTAATCCTAATATTTTTTACACTGGAAGTCCCGATGGTTTCTGGAAAGTGAATCAATTTATTATTTCCAAATGTTATGTGTACCTCTTTTTAAATATAACAGAATTATGCAAATTACGATATGATTAGAATAATTTACGATATACATGAATGATGTATATATGAAATGAATACGAGTTATACCTTATTAAAGGATAACAGGTATAACTTCTAAAGCTCAAAATCTAAGACCAGAAAAATTTTATGTGTCATTTAAAAGAAGAAAACGCTGCATTAAGAAAGAAAAACAAATTTAATAACGAAAGGAAAAAGTATGTAATATGGAATTCTCCATCTATCTATATCTGATACGACAAATGAAACTATTCATAAATGAAGCATCAAAAATTATGATTATAATATTTGAAAAAAGCGAAGTTTGTTGCATGGGTATTTTAATTTTCAAGGACAGCTGGATATGAGGTAAGCCATTCCAGTTGACCGAACAACTAACTTGATTTGCATGATCTCTTAAATCATTGCATTTAGGTGTGGGATAGTCGTTCAAACAGCAATCGCGTTCCAGTTCAAATGCATGCTTCTCGTTCATTATATAATGTTGCTAATATAGATAGTGATAGTCAAGATAAGTATGTTGTTACATCCTATACTTCCGGTACCAGAATTGATGCATGGGACTTACGATTTTTCGGGGTACGTTATTCAACCTCATTATAATTATTCAGAATACATACCTCAATAAAAAAATGAAAAATCTTTTCTTATCACAATGTGAATGTTACATTTCTAAGGAACGTTTGGATTGCCGAAATTATTCGAAGGTTAAGAAAATAAACTTCAGATGATTTCGACGATTTGAACAGATTTCCTGATTATCTTTGTTGATACTTCACATCTCAAATATCCATTTTTAGAATCAACCATTTGTTATCTATCGGGATGAAGATGAAGCAACGACACCTTTTGCCAGAGGTTGTATTATTTAATTTATGAAAAAGAAATTCATAATAACTCTCAAAACGGTAACAATCGGTGGCAGTAACAAAGAAAGGAATGAATTAAAACAAAAAAGAGGAAAAAATTAGTAATAATAATATTTATTTTTATATTAGCCAAATATATTTCTTTTATTATATATTATTAAAAATAGGGATGAGTAACAAATCGGATTTCTTATGGCGAGCCAGATTTTCACCGCAGATTACTGGACATCGTTATGTATATGCTAACAGTTCAAGTGGAAATATTTACAGTAACTTTTCGGCATATTTAGATTTATCAATATAAATAATATATTTATCAATATAAATAAATTTTCGTTCCATTAATTACCATAAATTTTTATACATTTTGCAGTTTTTGATATTACCACCGGTGAAACGCAACGACTTCACAGACATGGAACTCTAATATGTGATTCTACTTGGCATCCAAATATCTCCGAAATAGCTTGCGGAACAGTATGATTAATGATTTCTTGATTAGTTCTTAAATATACCAATGATTCAATAATTTTATTTAGCAATTTAAAATATGAGAATTTTAATAAGTTCTTTTTGATATTATAGTTATCTGGTGCGATAGTTACATATTATCATGGACAAGAAGAAGAATAACAATTTGTTGAATTTGATGTATTTGCTATTTGTAGGATAAATTTTGCAATAATTGCTATCTTATACTATTTAATTTTTTGCTTTTACTTTTCCTTTCTGCTCATTTTTAAAATAATTTCAAAATTACGAATTAGATCTTTTAGTCAAACATTAATATTTGTGTTACCAACAATATGATGATGAAATTTTTCGTTGAAATCTAAAAAATCTCCGTTTATCAAAAGTATGTGAAAGTATGTTTTGATGAGTAATACTTCCTTCCTATGTATATTAAATGAAGCTAATTATCATCAATTTTATTCATTATTCATTACCATTTTCAATTACTCATTTAATAGCATTCTCTTTCATTCATTAAATGAACAATGGGCTCAATTAATAAAAGCCTAACATTTCTGAAGAGATAATTTGAGAGGAAACACAAATATTATCATATGTTATTTAAATTTGATTTATCTTTTTGGATGACAAAATGAATTGATTGACAATGAAGTGCTATATGATACAATTATATTAGATACTATATTTTGTTTATAGTGTATTTATTAGTTTCATTATTTCTGATTTGTCGGATAGGCATACTATGATCGTGATAACATTTATTTCTCAAATATTTATCATGATATTCATCACAATAAAGAGTCATGATATTTATCACAATAACAGCGTAAGTCGTACCACATACGTGATTAACAAATGATAGATAAATCACAGCATATCGTATAAATGAATTGATAGTTATAAGCGAAATAATTAGATTAATTTTACAGTAATATCTTTAGTTTGAAGCAAAATACTTCACACTTCATTTGTTCGTGTGATATTATTGAATCAATTAATTTTCTTCGCCAATATTGCTGTATTATAGACTTGAGAAAATAATCAGAAAATTTCAAAATTCATATGGATATGATTTGTAAGTTTGAGATGAAGGAAGAGAGTATTATAGATGTTCGTCATAGAAATACTAGTTATCTTTCGTCAATAGCTGGTACGTATACATATCCTTAAGCTGGGAAGAAGTGATGCCAGAATTGACAGGTATGAAATTGAAACGAAAGATTCGGATCAATCATAAAGTGACATGAGATGATCCCATATACACCGTTTCTGTTTGATACCACTAACTAAAATGAAAAGAAGATTCTGCGAACATAAGTGGAATGACGTTTTGTTCGAAGTTTGTTTCCCAAACCTTTTATGAGTGAAGTACACCTTTGCGCTTTTTTAATATTTTACTTTAATGCCAACATGTTAATTCAATCAGCAAACATTTTGCTAATATTTATTACTTGCGCTTTACTATCTTCAGCATAATTTGCCGAAATATAACGAAATGATCAATATGTGAATTATATTGGCAGATTGATAAATTGTGTATGTCTCTTTCTGCTTTATTACAGTGACCAATTTCCCCATTCTCGGTATTTACGATTGACTAACCGGGATGCTTTTAGACAGCCTGTTCGTGATTAATATTTCGATTGATTACTAGCCGGTCAAATCCTTATCAACCGGTTAGGTCCTAGCAAAATATTGAACAGCGGTAGCATTTAGGGGTTTATTTTTTGGAAGTGATTTTTTCCAAAAATGACTGCTGTACAGTTAAATTTAATTTCGACTACTATTATTTAATTCGTTCGAAATCATGATGCTATCTTTTCTTTATTTATAACGCGGAGAGAATTCTCATTTCAGAAACCACAATATTTGCTAATTTGCTAATTTATAAGCGATAATGTGTAATCATTTATCTCACCAACAAATAGCTGTGAAGTAAGCTAAAGATTACCTTTGTGACTTATTTTTTAATTTATAGAATTATACTTTCATTCTTGGAATCACAGCTTATGCTTCTTTCTGATAGGGCGAAATGAACAGGGGCTGCCTGTATTAATTATGTTTCTTTCTGATAAATTTGTTATGGCTACCAGTCTGGATCTTGTTGGCATTTACGACTGATCAATAAGATGCTGTTAAACAGTTCGTTCAGTGATAACTTTTCCGTTTTTCTTATTGGTCGTTTGTTTGACTTGAATATATGAAGTTACAAATCACAGCAGTGGTCATCAGTTCATTTACTTTTTGAAAGTCATTCGTTTGAAAATGACCACTATCATTAGCTGAGATGACTGTTGAATTGCTAAAGCTTGTTCTCGACATAAACTTTCCCACTATTTTAAATTAACATCATTTTCACTTCCTTTTCATGAACCATTTTATACCAACAGTGAACTTTCTCTGATAGAGTGTTAATGAATAGAGAAACGAGTTCTTTTGCAATATCAATCCAAATACTGATACTGAAATTCAAAACTCAGAAATTCGAAATAACCTAGCAATAACTTTTTAGCATATTTGAAATGAAATTGTGCCAAACTTTGAGAGCATTATTTTCTGCTTTTTTGAAAAATACTTTTTGCACCAACTCAACATCAAAAACGGTTCAAAAGATTGCAACAGTGGGAAATATTGGAATGATAAAAGTTCACTTGGTTTTTATGGAAAACAGTGACTATTCGATTATTTTCTAGAAAATTAGTTTCTATTCATACGTTTGTGCGTAGGAATTTATCAATTCAATGTTACAGCTATATAAGTTGCAAAGCACAAGATGTAACTCGAAACTTATACGTTAGGCACGTCTAATGAAACGGTAATTGCTGTTACGATTAATTAAAGTTAATGTAGAATAATGCATTAAACCAAAATCGTTCAAGCTGCACTTTGCTCGATCAATACAAATGACAAAAAAAAATAGCAGCAAACGTCAACTTTACGCCAACACGACATCACACGTGAACATCGGCCAGCCGCAAAACAGTTCAATAATATTTGAGGCTGTGTTTGTTATTGCGATAGTTGCGCACTAAGAGATCTACGTGTTGATTCAGTCCACGTCTCAGCTTTATACGGAAGTATACGTATTAACTGTGCGAATTTGCATGTAATCGAAGAATTTGTTTATAAGGATATGATGTAATTACAGCGTAACTTCTTTTCTAAAAGTGAGATTTTTCAGATTGGATGCAAAAATCGATATCCAAATTTCACTTGTTATATCAATAAATCTTACTTGCCATTGATTTAATTTATAGGTTTTCTAATAATCGTCAAGTATATTTATTAGTTGCTGTTTCACTTTACCTCCTCCGATTTAATACCAAAATATTATTTAAGGGGTAGCACATGTCAAACAGAGAAAGTACGGAGAATGGATCAAACAATCTAAATGAATATCCTTCGAATATTTGCTCTAGTTTTATTGCCAGTGATCGAAGCAGTGAACGCAAATTAATCAGCACAACAAGCACATCCTTACTGATTGCAACCGATGGATCACAGGTTAGTTTGTTGCGTTAAATATTGAAATAAAATTGGCGGAATTTTTTCAGAGAATAACATTCCATTCATACCATCTTCTCGGTTTCCTTATCACTTATTTTCCGGATACTTCTGGGTTGTATCTTGTCTGTTGCAAATAGTTTTAAATAGTTTGATTCTTAGCAAAGTGAACGAAGTGATACATCGGAAGCAGATGCACAGTCGGTTCTGGGACGAAATGAGCAATCCTTGATGCAAAATGATCTAAACAAAGAGAAAGAGGAGAATAATGAATACGAACTGAATGCGATCCATCCATCACTGACGGAATTTTTTCAGAATTCTCGAATTGACGCGTTTGGTTTCATACGAAGTCCCAACAATGTGTTCGTCTTTCTTAGCCTTTTCATGAGTTACCTCATATTGTTACTGGGGTTGTAATTATATTACATTTTAATGTTTCCATTTTAATGAACACAGTGATTCATCGAAATTAATGAATGGAATCTTGAAGTGATTGTCGACCACATAATCCTGTTTGTCCCTGGTAAACTTTCAAACCGATAGAATGTAAAAGAACTTAAGGAAAGTACATATTCTATGTAGAAGAGAAAATTTGTGGATTACTTCAACAGCATCGAAATATTGTTGTGTATAAGATTAGATAAATAATATTTTAATAGTTAGGATCACTAAATTGAATCAACAAATTATGGATTTTTGCATCATATCATGTAATATTATTTATCTAATCTTATTATATTCATGTGTATTGAATGAGAAAGAAAAGCTACAACAGAAGCATTATTGACTCTGGACGAAATTTGAGAGTAAAAATTATAATTTGGCTATTTGGGATATTTTATGCTTGTTGCAGAAATCGTGAAGCTGCAGTAGACTTGGAGACGCTACGGAAGCGCGAAAAGAAATGGTTGCATATGCTTACAAATTGGTCTTATTTCATGGACAACAAGTATGAAAAAGTAAGGGAACGTTGCCGCAAAGGTATACCTCCATCGTTACGTGGTCGAGCTTGGAAGCACTTATGCGGTGCCGTATTCCATATGGAGTTTAGCGTAAATAAACACGTTTTTGAGGTTAACAGTCTTTCTGTTTTTTTATTGTCAATGGAGAAATCCAAAACTGGTTTACTAAAAAATTCGTTCGACTTTCTCAAGCAAACGTTTACACTTATAACCAGTGAGATGGTTTCGTATTTTTAGGAAGTGAGTAGTCAACCAGGTGATCCTCGATGGGTTGAGGATATTAAGAAAGATTTAAATCGACAATTTCCAGAACATGTCATGTTTTCTCGCGCTGGACCTTATGGAAAAGGAGGGTATGTTTTGCTATGAGAATATGTTCATTTTTATCAACAGATACATTTTCATCATTAAACTTCCTTTCACTGCGATTCCATGGATAATAAATAGCGTTTGGATAATAAAAATTGTGGTTGTATTCATCAGAAAGTCTTAAAATATCTCATTTGCAGAAAATCAGATTTGTTCGAATTACTTAAGGCATACACTGTGCTACATCCTGAAGAAGGTTACTGTCAAGGACAAGCTCCTGTTGCTGCTGTTTTGCTCATGCATATGCCATTGCGTGATGCTTTTTATTGTTTTGTACAAATCTGTCACAAATATTTGCCGGGTTACTACAGTGCCGGCCTTGTACGTTTTTTGGAAATTTTCTTAAAAATTAGATGTAGTTAAATATGTCAAATTTTTTCGTTCTATACTGCTCTGACATATCGGCAAATAATGTCCAGATATACGCCTTATTTCAAACTTAATTGCTCAAGAAGCATCCAAAAGACTGAAAAGGAGGATTAGTTCATATTAAAGTATTGAAGGAATAGTTCGAAGTAAATGAGTCGGTATTGGGGAATAGCAGTATAGCCATGGATGTTCTGTAACTGTTTGGAAGTAACTTGTAATTTTTGGTATTTCTCCTATTTTTTCTTGTCTTCTAATAACGTTTATAGGAGGCTATACAAATCGATGGTGATATTTTATTTCAAGTGCTGAAGGACAAATCACGTTTTAGTTACAGGCATTTGGTTCGTTTACTTTTTTTAATATTAATAAGTTTTTACCAGAACTTTTACTAGAAAGTTCAAAAAAATTTTGCTTTTTTTGAAGAAAAAACATCGCGTTGAACCCGTACTTTATATGGTTGAGTGGTTCATGTGTATTTTCTGCCGAACTCTTCCATGGCCGACAGTACTTCGAGTATGGGATATGTTCTTTTGCGAAGGTTATCAAATAATACTTTTTGGTCATATAATAAATATTGTGGATAATAAAAGTTAAGAAATGAAAGTTACTGTTGTAAAAGTTTAGTAATTATTTGGTGTTTTTGAGTATCAAAGCTAGGTTTGGATATTAATGGTACCTTCGCTAGTGTGAATCGGAATATCCAATACTGCTGTATAAAATCCACATTAAATGCCTTTTTAATGTGCCTAACTTATTGTTGTCGCAGAATTCCAATTTCAAATGTGTTAAAATGTGAAATATGACTACTTCTTAATAGTCGTTAATTGTTCATCAAGCGGTGCTGATAGTTTATCTTGCACAACTGTAGATACATATCGCAAGCTTTTAATTTCAAGTTTGCTTTTATTGACCACTTTCTCATTTCTAGATGAAACAGTTACTGAAGCATATATTTAATTTGACTATCTTTATTTCTTAGTAACTGCCTAGGCTACTAAGCAGTGTGAACGGTCGACAGAATCTACGGGAACAGATAAGTTTGTTAGTGTTGTAAGTTATTTAAAAGACCGAATATACATATGCAGTATTAAATTAGATTAGACCATTATTCAATTGTTATATATGTATATGTATGAAATTTCAGGTGTCAAAGTACTGTTCAAGATAGCCGTGGTTTTATTTCGCTACGGTCTCCGTACGAATGAGCAGCTAAGAGAATTTAATGACTTTCATTCGATTGTGACACGGCTCAAAAATCTTCCTGAAGAGATAATGACTGAAGATTTTCTTATCCAAAAGGTACCCGTAAGGCATTGTTTCAAGTAATCTTTATGCAGTTTATGTAGTTCTAGAAAAGAAAAGTTTTTATATAATTTATTCATTGCATTTGGTCAGCACCTTTTTTCTCAAAGAGTAAGCAAATTTCAGGTTACCGACCTTGATTTGGACGACGTCGAACTGGAGAGGATTCATTTCAGAATTATGAAAACTCGACAGCTACGATTGAAGCCGAATTAATTATATAATAATTTCCTGTACTATTGGTGTGCGAGTTGTCACATGGAAAACTATAGGAAGCAAAACCGCTGCATCGGAGGGAGTTGAACTCAAGGCGCCGGCAGGCGAGCACTCTGCCGCTGAAACGCGGCGCCCGCATGCAAAGTGGAAAATTTTACATATCAGATTGTAGTATTTGGAGTCATTAGGTATTTTTTTTATGAAGATGCCTGTTGGTGTGGATGTTTGATTATGCTATTGCAATTTATCCATTTCTTAGTCATGAAATTCATTTCGTTTCACTCTGATTTCCGGCGCTGGTTAGATATTATAGTTGTGAAAAGAAACTTATTTTCGTCCAACCCGCAGTCAACAGGCGTCGTTACCATCATTATTCTTAGAGGTGATTAGGTGTTAAGTGCTGATCAGTTCTGTTAAATGTAGGATTCAAGTCACCCATCTTTGTCCCAGTTATTTGTTCATCGTTTTCACCAATTATTAGTGTGCTTTAAGTTAGCCTTGGGTAATTCATCAAAATACATTTTCTACTACATAATATGATAAGATTATGGTCAAATAGTAATCGAGTTACTCGAGTTCCATGAAAATCGCTTAACTGAGGTTTAACAAGGAGTGATCAATTTTTATGGTGCTCCTAAATACACATCAATTCATATTTATGTTGATCATATACATTCTGTTTAAAAAATTAGGAAAGAATGAGATATACGAAAAATTTCCTCTTTCATTCATGAAAGACGGTGGTGCGCAACATAGGAAAATAATAACTGATATAGACAAAAAACAATCATACAACTGGTAATTCATGTGTCTGAATTTTTCAATCTGCTACTTGCTTGTGCAACGACTGCTGATTTGTATGATGATTTCACATACTCTATTTATGCCTATTGTAATGTCTAATGATGCTGTCATCGTGTCTTACATCTCATCATTCAGAAATGTTCCCTCTCGAATATTTCTTTCTATTTTCCCTTATTTATTTACTTTTCATTGAACTTTGAATATTCAAATATAATTATATATTCGCATACGCCTAACGAAAATGAATACAATAGCTGTGTGTTAAAAGTTATAACACTTCAATAAACGAACAGACTTTCTAGAAGTATCCGTTGAAAACTTGTTAATTCTCACGTAATTGCTGAAACTATGGTACCGAAAAAGTCTTTTAAGTTTTCGTATAATTTGACGTAGCCTTGTTTCTTTCTCTTCGATAACCCGTAGAGTAACGGTGTCCCCTCACCATAGGAATACAGCTTTTGCAGATTACGGGAAGCAGTGGACACGGGGTGTGGCGTCGTAGCGTGTATACGGGGCTTGTCTGATGGGAAGAGGTGTTGCACGGAGGGATAGAGAGGAGAGAGTGTAGGGATATTGGAAAAGCAGACGAGCAGATGGCAGGTAATCAATTTTTGTGGTTCTTTGGAAGAGGAGGTTGAGCAGGATTAGGTGGGTAGGGCAGGGGTCGTTGCATGGAATAGTGAGATAGTGAGTGGTCAGTGTGTGAGGACTTGTCGCTCACTTAGTCCATAGAGTTTTAAGTGCAGGATATCTTCACATTGACCTCCGCGCATCACTTCTTTTTTGCATATTTCGATCAAAAATATTCCTTTGGTGTGGTATGTATGTCTGTTTGTGTGTTCATATTCCAATACATTAACAACACTTTTTATTGCATAAGCGTTCGTGAAACTTTTAAATTCTTACCAAATTGAATATTATAGCACTCTGTATTAAACTTTTGTATTTCCTTTTCTTGTAAGATTGTAACTGAAGCTATTTTTTTTTTTAAAGATAGCTTCATCTTTTATGTTAATATAACTTTACTGACCTCTCGTGCATAATCAAATTCATAAGATTCAAGATGAATTGTTTCAACAAGAGATTTCAATATTTCATTCGAATTGTTTTCCTGTATGACAGCGGAAATACTGTTACTTAAAATAAACGATGACATTAGATTAGATCATTTTATAGCTTGCGCAGTTGACTGCTTAATTGATTAGTGACGCATTTTCGTTTGGAAGCAATAGTCAGAGCGTGTGAGATTGTTACAACGATAACGAATTGAGCAATTCAAAATTCAATTAGCAAGTCAACTAGCTGATTGTGGCTTTATCTGAAGTGGTATTTACTGTTGCCGTATTGTCATAAGTATAATCGCTAAGCGATAAGGGATACGCATCATGCCTCACAAACTTCAAAATGAGGTAACAATTGTATTTCTTTACTGTTCATCAAAATTTCTTCAGCACCAGAATTTGCAGTGAATTTTGTTGCTTTCAGAATTATTATTACGTATGGCTATTAATCAGAGCCATTTTCTCTAGTGCTATTTTTACAGTCTCAGGATAAATTCTATTTTCATTTCATATATTAGCAGTACTAAATTCGTTATCCAATGATTATAGTAAGCAGATTGTTGTAAGGAGTTCCACATATTTTGGTAGTACTGAGGATTTAAAAGTTTTAAGTTGTTCATGAGAAACAACAAGCGAAACTTCGAAAATTCAAAATTAAGTTGTTTTATAGAATATGTATGAAGTACGAGGAGTGTATGCTAATCAAGAGCTTTTGGTATTGATAACGAAGATGATTGTAAGTTATATGAGAAATTATCCCTCTTGTGTTTATCTAATTTGATTGCCGTTTTATCATGATCGAAACTTTGGAAAATATGTCTTGATCATACTAACTGTCAATTGCCCTTTTCTCTCTTATGAAACTTCATCGAAATTTCGAACCAAAAAAAGTAGAGGAACCAAAATTTCATCAACTAACAAAAATATTGTAGTTGATTTTAGGGTAAGGAAGTACTGCTTGAAACTCGCGATGGATTGACGTTTGAAGGAATATTTGCAGGTTGCTCTCCAGATGTGAGTATTTTTTTTTATATTACATCCGTGATTTTATTTTTTGTATTGTGTTCGGATGAGTTAAAATGATAAAGATGTTTAGTAATTATCCGTTTTGGTAAATTTGATAATTTTGCAGTTCGATGTTGGTTTGAGGTGCGCACATGAAGTAGTCCCAGATGAGCAAAAGAACTTGTTACCTCATAAAGATCAAATCATCGAGAAACTTCAGTTTGAAAGGGATTGCGTTTATAGCATGGGAGCAAAATATCGGGACGAAAAACGGATTGAAGGTTTTCTTTTATAATCAGTTTAACTAATAAGTTATATAATTTTGTTATAGTAGAATGCAAATGTACTAAAAAATGCAACGAATTCAAGGATTTGCTACGGATCGTGAATATGCGGATCAGAGCGGTTCTTTGGCAGATATGGAACTACAGGTTTGGGAATCCGAAGATGACTTTGACAATGGTCTTCTATTAAACGATGATCAAGAAGATGGTTGGTCTGTTGAGCAGATGTTTCAGGCGAATGATGTTCTGGGGGTCAAAAGCACATTCGACGAGAATATGCCCGAATATGCCACGTAATTTCTTCTATTTTTTATTTTTTAAACTTAACTATTCTGTGAACAAAGTAAATACATATCGTAAAATCGCATATTTCTATGAAATCGTTTCTTTTATAAGATATCATTATCAGGTTGATCGTATAGCTACTGTATACGGAAGTGCATGGCATTTTTTTATTGTTCGTATGCCTGAATGGTTTCCTTAAATTTCAGGGCTGATGTGCAGGGTGACGCAGAAGATCTTAAGCGGGCAGAACGAATTGCACAAGAAATCAATAGTAGCAGCGCAAGTAGAGCACGTGCACAGCTGGAAAATGATGACGAAGAGCGTGATTTGGATAGAGAGACGTCAGAATTTCAAATACAACACAGTAGCCGAAAAGCCTCGAGCACTGGGTAAAAGTACTTCCGACGAAAATTTATTATTCACATTAAGGCAGATATAAAAATAAGCGCTTTTTACAGGATGTCAGGACAGATAATTTATTTTCTTTAACGAGCACAAAATGTTTCTAATTGTGGTTTTGCAGTTAATTATTAGTTAATAGTTCTAGGATATCCGCATTGTGTCCTGTTAAGAGCTCTTCGATACAAAATGGATCTAATATCTGTAATCCATTCAGACGTGGCAGCTATTCAGGAAATATTCGAGATAGAGCGATGAACGTGAACAGAGGGCCACCGAACGGTAGACGATCGGAAGGGATGGCAAATACAGGAAGAGGTACGGTAGTCATTCATGATATGAATATTTAATTTTCTTTGTTGGGATCACGAATGTATTGCTGTAAAACAGTTAGCGAAAGATTTCCAACGAGGAAAATAAATTTCGTATTTTCTAAATTTATGTGATTTGATGTGTTGTTTGAATTAAATCTCAATGTTCTTATTGTCCTCAGTGCTGTTTTTTGTTTACTGATTGACCAAATTAGCAAGACAACCTCATAAAATATGCGAAAAACTTCCAGGGCGCGGATCGTATGGATCCAGTGGTGGCTCATCACGTTTATTTACAAATTCATCAATGGGTCATGGAGTAAGGCCTCAAAATTCTGTTGGATCAGGGCCTACTTCACGTTATGCATCTAGTGGTATTTTGGAGAGACCGACTGCGCAGGAACTACATCTGCAGTTTGGCCGTATGCTTTTTATTATGAGTTTTGTTGTTTGAATATTAATTTTAATGCAGTATACTTCCCTAAATCAGACTTCGAGTGATTTTTATGGTTGGGTTATGCTCAAAATACGGGACTTAGAAATTTTACATGCCAATTTAAAAGAAATTTACCTGTTATTTTATGGTGAAACTTCCACAGCGATTGATATATATCTATGGGTCTTCGTTTCATTTATTCAGCTATATATTAGTTAATTTATGTTTTACAGTATACTGTCATTATTTTCGCGCGCTTCTGCACAAAGCATCGATAAGTTATATCCACTATTATGTTTTAGCTTATCATTCCGTTATAGAGTGGGTTAGACGTGGTGAAAGTTCAGGCTCCTCTTCAACTACAGATGGTGTAAGAGGTGGAAGACGATCGGAGCAAGTAATTGGAAATAATACGAGAATTTATGACCATCGTTTGATGACCAGTCAGCATGAAGGACAACCTACACGTGCTTCATTTATTTATTCATCCATTTATTCACTTATTTTTTAGTATTTTGACCGCAGTTTGATTTTAAAGACGTTGCTAAAAAGAAGGCAAGTGACTTCATATGTTGTCGTGAAAGCATATAATAATTCACAATCTTCAAATTTTACAGGTGAGGAAAATAAAAACGTGCATTATTCGAGTACATCAAATAATATGGGTGGCGCTTCGCGGCAGCAAGCATCAAAGCAAACAGAACGGGTCAGAAATTTAAAAGAATTTCATCAGAATTTCAACAGTACTTTCCAGCCATCTCATTCCGTGCATAATAATGCAGATGATATTCAGGTCCGTTGTTATAATTCACCGAACGGATATGAAACTTCCCAGGGCAGTTACTAAATGATTTATCAGCTGGCACTGGATGAATGTTGAGCTAAGCACGTTATCACCAGTGGACAAAAATGTTCAAAGAGTTTGAGGGATATTGCACAAATGTTAAAGGTTTTTGTAGGAGGTTTAGGGATAATACAATAAAATTAGTGTTAGATAATGGCATTTTTAGCGTACAAACGCCGTGCAAGGAACAACAACACCTGGGCTAGCACCAAGGCCTATTAATAATGCTTGGAATAAAGGACCTCCTCCTGGTATGCGAGCTCCGTCTTCGTCAACACAAACGACCGCAAACCATCGCCCAGGTCCAGTTTCTTCAAGCACCTCTGCTTAGTTTTCGTTATGCTTCGTTTGCATAATTTTTCATAAGTGAAAGTCACTGCTCAGAATTAACAGGATTACAGGAATTTCATCTGCTAGAGATGTGGAAACATCAGCATCTATAACAGCAACAGCAGCATCATGTACACCGAGTACAGAACAACGATCACAACAAGGGATCGTCAAGGCTCGAGGAACTGTACAAGCACCAGCTGCTTCTGGTGGTTGAATTAATTTGTTGTAGTAGTGAGATTTTTTTTCGCTGATTTTCCACTGCTCTGTCACGAACAAATAGAATAAAATGCACAGTTCAGTTTCAGGTCGCTCAGTAACAGATGTAGCATCGACAGCAGTTCCCGAATGTCGTCCAAACAAACCAACATCTACCGTTCCTGGATCTGATACGACATCGCCTAATGTAGAAGCAACAGTTGTGGTTTTAGATACGCAAACTGCAGCTACGCCTATTACAGCGCGGGAAATTCAACAAACGCACCAGTTGTCTGCTGCAGCATCATCATCATCTATTGCACCTACAGATCCAACACCTAGTTCTGCAGTTATTGATACTGCAAAGACGACTGTAGCAAATTCTGTGACGACAGCATCGGAAGGGTAAGGTTATGCGAATTTTCTCGGCATATAACTGGTCTCCAGACATGATATTAGCATAAAGTGATGGCAAGGTGTGTTGCCAATGGATTTCAGATTACCGGTGAATAATTATTGAATAATTAAATTAGAACAGGAAAATGATATTTGTCAGATTTCAGAAAGCATTTCGTTTGGAATCCAGATGCACCGTCGTTTGTGCCCCGCAGTTTAACTAATCACCGCAGTAATGAGTCGCAAAGCCATCGCCCAGCATTGCACAGTATTCGAACACCTCCCGCTGCACCATTACCGCTTATGTCTACACACATCGCTGCACCAGGGCAAATTCAAGGTTTGGCCCTTGCCAATCCACAGGCTTTATCTGTTCAGGTAAACATTTGCATTGTTTCAAACTTTTATAGAATTATTGAGTAATAAGATTCGAATGACTTCCAGCGAGTTCAATTACTGATTAAGCATTCTAATAAGAGCAGTCCATTGTTATTAGAAAAAATCATTGAAATCATTTTGTCTATTAATTTAATAGTTTAGAAGTTAAAATTGACGTCTTTGGTTTTAATTTAAACAGTAATAAGAGAAATTTAAAAAGTCTGGCGAATCAATGGGCGTTATTTAATAAAATAATCTTTAATTAGAACCATGTTTCAGAATGTGCCGTCAATTGCTCATGCTGGACCACCACAAATGTTTCCATATGCGCATGCGAACGCATATGGTGCTGCCATGCCGGTTTATTACAACCCACCGGTTGTGCAGGTATATTCTAAATTGTGATCAAACTGAAATTCTAGAAAATTTGCAACTCATAATCGCAAGCATTACTCAATATAAACTTGCGAAAGAGCTTGTTCCCATGGGATGAACTTCAGTTTTCGTAGAAGAAAGAGGCTTCCATTACTACCTGTGGAGAATTCTAGAGTACGCCAAGTGCCGCTGCAGCAACAGCAACTGCAGCAGCGAATGTGACGGGTGGTCCAATTGTTGCAAGTACTGCCGGTTTACCGATTGGTCGCCATGGACAAGTGGCTGGACAAGCACCTTCAACTAATCGGCGAAATCAACAGCAACAATTCATGCAAGGTGTCGCTGGTATGTATGTTCCTGGAGCCAGTCAACCGTATGCCCAACAGCTCATGTCACAGTATCAGGTTTGAATATGATTGACTGTTTAGGAGTCATTTACAGATGGACAATCGTCTTCCTAAATGAACAACAGATATATGCTGCATGATAAATGACATTTTAATGAAAGCTAAGAACTCAGTAAATCTATATCAAGCTTTATTAAGCTGCAGATTGAAGTCTGTTTAAATGTTCACTAAATCATATGTCTGTTGTTCAAATTAAATTTCAGTTTAAATGCTTTACATGTCGTTAAATGTTCAGTTCTTGTTTTCCGATGTAACTTTTTTCTTTAGATGCCCTATTTTGCACCATATCCATCGCAGCTCTCAATTGGAGCTTCATCGAATATGCCACCACCACCGATACCACCTCCATCTACAAATGCGGTACTCACGGCTCCTCCACCTTACCAAATCATACAGGTTAGTAAAACAGGAAGCAGATGTTTAGGGAGCTTTGCGTTAGCACTTGATAACATATTGTAGTTGATGACAATATCATCAGCTGCAGTACTTTAAAAATCTATTATCTTATTGACCTAAAACTTTAACGAAGAATAAAGTGTGAAAGATGGGTATATGTGACATTAGTTGTTTCAATATAGATTAACTATGTTCATGTGTTATTTCCACATCATGATGCGATAATTAAAACTGGTTTGAAATGGCAAATATTTTGAATTACATGTTAAATGTTTACTTAAATGTTTTCATCCATTGAAAGAAAAATCTATTTTGCAGACTCAAACTCAACAGCAGACTGGATTTCCACGGCAGCTATATCAAGGCGATCATTCCGTCGTACGTTTTGTCGGCTTTAATAACATAAATACTGAGATGAAATAACTCTCGATTTTATAATCTTTATTCTAGATCGATTCTCTGAAACATAGTTCTTATAGTCATTTTTTTAATGTGCGCACAGCTACGCTGATTTCGTCGTAAAGGCGCAAAAAGAAAAAATTATACATGAACATAGTAGTTATGCTGTAAATTAGTATTGCCCATTTGGTTCCCTTTGTTCACAGTCCATATATTCTAACAATATTTTTCAGAATTACATATCTCGTTTGCCGCAGTCTCATCCAGCTATAGATTACACTGGTAAGTCCAAGAAATATATAAATTGATTTACAGTCTGTTTCTTATATCTATTTCAAGAAAAGTGTAATTAAAATTACTGATCATTACACTGAACAAATTAAGAAATTTCTGGAGTAATTTTCTCACGGTAGAGATTTTTATGTTTTTAATTATTTAAAAAAAATGGGTTATTGCTTATTATTTGTAACAGCAACAGCGTCAACACAGCAACAACCGCAGCAGGGATCAAGTGCTGCTTCGAGCAATGGAACAGGTTCAAATGGGCCTAACAGTCAGCCGGCCACACCTGGACCTGTGATATCACCTCCTCAGGTGAGGAAATACCATATTTTGACAGAGCAAGACCTTTGGTCAAAATGTTTGCCTTATATATATGATTCTGAGTTCTTGAGATGAGAAAAAACTTCAGCTTTTTGCAGTTGACCTTCATGAGCAATATAATGATTTTCCTACATAATTTCAATTATATAAAAGTGGTTATTACTTCAATATATCATAATTTGTATTTGTGGGTACTGCTTTAGATCACATTTATATAATTCAGAGAACCATAAGTTGATCGCATCATAAATTTCGATTCTGAGTAGCTTTCCAGACTACCCACATTATCGAAGTAATTTCTAGAAAGTTAGATTCTTGTGATGAAAATTATTTTAATCGGTGTTTCATGTTCCTTAGTACATCTAGATATTAGAGCAGTCTATTATATTTCAACAATTATAGCAATATTTTACAACTGACTATCTAAATCTTTTTAATGCAACTCGTCGATACGGTCAGACTCAACCGTTATTTCGAAAATGAAAACTCCTAAATCGTTGATAAGTTAGTTAATCAACCAAATGCGGTGCAGTATTTACATGATTGCACTGTTAGCGCAACTATGATATGATTTACATAATTTACGAACAGATGCAGTGATGGAAACTGGTACATCCAAGGATCAAGTGAATATGAAATTATGCAACAGATTAAATGGTGCATGCTCGTGTCTGTATGTGTGCGTATGTGTATTTGTATGTATTCGTGTATGTGTGCGTGTGTGTGTGTGTGTGTATGTATATGTATGTAAATTTGTGTCAAATGCACTAAATGTACCAATTCTTGTTTATCCACTGAATAACATATCCTAATTTAGTCCGCTTTTGTTCACTTTGCACCGTTCAAATAGGTACAACAACAACAGCAATCAGTATCAATATCACAATATCCGCAATCCGGAACGCCGCAATCGCCACATCCTGTGCTTGTTCCACTTCCACCTGGTGCAGCTCCGCAAAATGCACAGCCACACATGTACGTCCAAGCACCGGTTTGTTGTTTGTTTGTATGTTCACTTTTCACTTTTTTTAGTTTATTAATTTATATTTTCGGGCCGTAAGGTTGTTAACGTTTCAAAAGGTCATGATGACAAACGATACGACTAAAATGAAGCGTTGAATAGGTTTCAAGTAGTGCATGTAAACTATGTGCATGTTAAAATTGACGTGTATGGACGAATCAGAAATTCTGGCACTACTTCAAAAGTCGAAAATATTCGATTTGTTGATTAGGTATGAGCATTCCAAGTGAAACTTAAAGACAACGCTAATTATGGCATTAGTGTTCTGATCGGTGCTTCAAGCTGAAACTATTGACCAATTTCGGATTAGTTTTTTTAATCAGAAATATGTTGAACATTTTTGGATTTGAGAAAGTGGATTTATTAATTGATAAGACAGCATATTTATTGATAGTGGGTTTCATAGATTATAATGTCATTTGCAGGCCTATGGTTATTTTCTTCGTTGAAGGTATATAACTGTGATTGTTCACAGTTTGTTCACTTACTGTAAAGTAAGTGAATAAACTTGTGTGAACTGATTTTGACAGATGTGAATTTTTCAATTACAAAATGTCCGAACATTGCTAATATTATTTGCTTTATTTTCTTTCTACAAAAAAATACAGAAAACTATCGATGATCTATTTGTTGCAGCAGTTTCCGTTCATCACCCCTGGACAGCCAGGCTTTGTGATGGCGTATGGACCACAGCCAGTTGTTGTTCATCCATCTGTCGCAGCACCAGCGGCTCATGTTCCCTTTTCACAAGCACATCAAACGCATGCACAAGTAAGAGTTTCATCTTTTTTGTGATGACCTCACGTTAATCAGAATTATAATTTCTCTTAATGAATCATTTCACGGGACAACATCCTGGTCATTTGATCAGGTTCGATGTCCAGTATCATGTTTGCATTGGAAAAAATACACTCTAAATGAGCCAATTTTTTGTCATCAAAATAATTAAAAGCTTTTTGTCAATGTGGATAAATGTTTAATGGTAAAGAACTGCGCTATGGCTATTACTCAAGCTATCGCGCTATTTCAGCCGAATATGTTCGAACAATTCCAGGGAGCTGTTGTTGAAACGGCTGCTTTGCAACAGCCGCAAATACCGAGTAGTTTGCCTCATCAACCCTACGTTGCTGGTGATCAGTTTTATTACATGCACCGTAGGTTGCTCAACTCCTTCATTTCTTAAATTAAGATCGGTAAAAATTCAATAGTAGGGAGATACATGCCATTTTTGAAAAGACAAACAACCAGAAATCAGTCACCGAAATTAACAGCTGGTTTGAGAATTTTTGTTTTCCGAAATTTCACTTTTTTTCAGCACAGCAGCAGCAGGGAGTATTCCAACAACAGCAGCAGCAGCAGCAGCAGCAACAACAGCATCAGCAGCAACAGCAACAGCAACAGCCTCCTCTGCCGCAGCAACAACAAGCGGGTAGTGCGGGATCAATACGCCACAATTCAGTAAACAGTCCACCACATCAACACCAAGCTTTTCAACCTGGTGGTGCTACTCAAAACGGTTCGGCTCCACCAAATGGTCAGTGTTGGAAGTTATTTGGCTTTAGCTACTTTTCATATTAAAAAAAATCGCTTTTTTTTTAAATGGATATTTATGCAAAAGAAATGATACGCAGCTTCAAGTACTCATTAAATTAAACTTTCTTGCGCTAATTTCAACCATTGTTAGACCGAGAGGCTCTCTTTTGAATCAACGGAATATTTTTTTACGAGATATAACAGGAAGATTTATTCTTACGAAGATAATTAGTGTTTAAACTTACAACTATTCCACTGAAGAGATGATCGCAAGAAACAAATCTTGTTATTAACTTGAAATAAACGATATATTTTATTATCGGCTCTTGTTCATCAATTTTCAAAATACTTTTTAGATATCAGCTCCGTTTTTTAACTAACTGGGTTATTCGTAAACTCTTTTGTCATTTGTACATTGAATAAAATCCGAAAATAATCAATGCTAAGAATTCGAATATTTCAGATTCTAATAATTGACAATTTCTCTCAGCGTTGTGGTCATTCCATCGGAATATGCTGTGTGCTCTCGCTGTCTTCGACTTTCTTGTTTAGTTTATTCAAAGCACATTCAGGGAACTTTTTGGATATGTCTTCTGTAGTCTGAATATATATTTTTTCGTATTATTTGAACACATATCTTTTTCAAAAGGATATATTTTTCATTGAGAAGCTTCGGATATATTTTTAGTAATTTACAGATCTTTTTTGTTTTGAAAGAATCTTCAGGAAAAATTGAAATAATAGTGGGATGATTCAGAATCTGAGAGCAAATTTTTTTTTATAGGAGATGAGTTTTTTTTAACTATTGTAATCTGCTTAGCTACTAAATTTGACTGATCTGATTTCTTTTGCTGTTGTAAATTTTTTAGATAAATATTACTCCTTTATTAGAATAGCTGTATATATAATCTGCCATTACGATTTATCCCGTCATTAGGTGTGCTGTATGTTTTTTGTTTATTCGGTTATTTTTTTCAAATGTGTTTTGGATCCTAGATGTTTGTAACGTAAACTTCATGATTTTTCATTTTTACGAAATAAGATTTCAGTTTTAATTAACTAATTCATCTTACTTTTTTCCCGGTTCTCCAACCTCTCCATTTTTCTTTTTCTCTCATCGTAAGAACCAAAAGTTAATGTACTGTTATGTATGAAGTTTTAAACAGTTTTGCTACGGGTTGTTTCCTCTATTTCTTTTTTCTTTAACATTATAGATCTTAACTCAAAACTTGCAGTTAGTTTCTTTCCTGACATTTCCATGTTTAAAACTGTAGAAAACGAAGGGAAGAAAGGAGAAAGCACCCAAGTTTAATTCAAAGATTAATATGAGAATTATTTAAGTACTCTTTGTATTTTGCTGGTTTGCCATACAAATTTCGAGTATTAAGTCAATTTTAAAAATTATCATTCGAAGAAAAAAATCCAGCAACGAAGCTTCATTATTTCTCGGAAAAGATCGCGGAAGTTCATATTTTTCCATCTAATAGGCCTATATAATTCTGTTCGAGGACGGAGGGAGCCAGATTGGAACGAGAGATCTATTTCAGTATTTAGAAGATTTAAGTGAATACTACCGAAATGAGAGTGATGGTATGAGGAGGAAAAGGATAGTTTAGGTTTCAGTTTCACTGAAAAAAAAGATGCATCATTAGGTTTTTGATTTGATCGATTTAAGGTTTTTGAGTACTCAATTTTAACTTTGAAGCTTTGTTGCTCGAGTAATGAAATTACTATGAATGTTAAGGATTATTCCTCTGAACTGTTTCTCTAATTTCTAATATTCCTAAAATTTAGGCAGTTGTATGCGAAATGTATTTAAGAAATAAAGATGAGACGCAGGATGTTCTCTTTTGTAATGCACAGTGCAAATTGCTATCGTTGTGTCGAATGGCATGAAAGCTATATTCAGAGGTCACCACTAGTTTGGTAAAGCATGTCGGATTTTTAGTGGATATACGAATAAATCTGTTCGTAGATAAAAGAAAGGAGGAAAGTGTAAATCGGATAAAAAGTCAACGAATAGAGATACTTCGACAATTGGAGAAATAGCTTCTGATCGCGGTAAATGTTTATTATTGGGATTGTTGAGGTTAATTTGTCGCCATGCACGAAATCAGTTTATATATCCGAGCTGGTAAAATACGTTACACGTGGTTCTTAATTGGGCGAAGTTGAAGGTAGGTTTAAATTCGTCCTGCAAATTTAGGTGCATTCGGGTAACTCGAAGGTCAGAGGGGAGAATTCATATTGTTAATGAATGAAGTTTCTTGATAAGAAGCAATTGACAACATTCGGAATTGTGATTTAGCTCTATGTTATTCTGAAAGATCAATTTATTGATACATATGGGTGATCATAAGATATCTCTAAAAATATTGAATGGAATAGTTTTATCGGTAACCATTTGAATTTGCAAAATCCTTATAGCATTTATATTAAAATGCTAAGAAAAAAGTAGTGGATAAACAAAAAGATCTAAGAAACGATCGCATAATAAAAAATTCTCTCAGCTTTGGGAAGTGACGGAAAAATTTCCATCGAGTGTCTATGAATTCTTTATCTTTAGCTGGTTATTCACAAAATCAACATATACACAAAGTGAACATTCTTTAGACATGCACAATTCAAGTCATCAACCGACATTTCAGTGAGTTTATTCCATTGAATCAAAGTGATTATTGTAGAAATAAAGAAATTTAGAGGTACAGAAGGAAATAAAGAAGTTCAACTTCTTAGGAGATTCTTCTTAATCCAGCAAAATTAATTAAAAAGGGTCTCCTAAATACCAGGCAAAAGCTTTTGTAAGCTAGTATTATCACTTGTTTATTGGTGTTTTTGTTTATTAAAATTATTGCGAATTACTTTGAGTAAATCTTTTACGTGGAACTGTCACAATTTGTTAAAACTCGAAGTGCAAGATGGATGCAGTGTCTATTTATTTAATGACGGTAATGACTGGATAAAACTAGAAGTACTCGAATTAGTGAATTTTTTTGTACTTCGTGTTTTCTACTATCTGTTACTCTGTTTGCGTGAAATATACAGGGAAGAATGGAAAGAATTTTTTGAACAACGAGTAAATTTGAAACCAATACAGAAAGGTTGTTTAAATGGTAAGCTTCGCGGTTCGCATGTTCGATCTATTATTTGGAGGGTTAGTTTCTTTCGTTTACATGCTTCTCAAGTAATGCATATTCATTTAAAATCCATTTAAATGTCGCATATGATAAAGTCACTTTCAGAGTTTACATAAATAAAGTGCTACGTAAACAACTTTTAGATTTATCTGTATTATTGATCGTTTAGTTGCTGAATTATATTAATTATACTTAAATTTTATTTTAGATTCTACTTCGTTGTTTACCTCTTGAACGAGAAGAGTGGTGCACGATTCTATCGCGAACCCGTAATTCATATGATAAATTGAAATCTGAGGTCGGTATTGTGTGTATTTAAAGCATAAAATATGAATAATATGGAATTCAAAAAGTGCCCATTGTGGTTCTCACGAGGAAAAATGGATGGGAAATCGAATGTAATTTACTGGTTCCGTATCACACACTTTATTTTTATAATGCATAATGTGCTCTACATATATTAGAATATTCAGCAAATTTATTAAATTTTATTGTTCAAATTTTCAGTTATTGATGAATCCGCGCGAGCAAACATCGGGTTTGGATCCAAACGTCAATAATCCGTTGTCACTTGGCGATGAGGTGATACATTTTGCTGTTATCGTTTTATTATTTATACTTCCTTCTTTTATACCGAACAGGTCTTTGATTTTCAGAATCCGTGGCAACAATATTTCAGTGATTGCAAGCTACGTGAATGTATAAATCGTGACGTAGAACGAACGTAAGTTCATGTTTACATGCTGTATCAATTTTCTTTTTGTTTTGAGTGAGAGGCTTGTGTTTAAACAAGTTTCTATTTGCAGTTGGAAATTTAGGAAATTCTTTTCCAGATTTCCAGAATTAGAATATTTCAAAGACGAGAATGTGCGAACGATTATGTCAGATATCCTCTTCATATATGCGAAACAGCATTCGGATATTTCCTATAGACAAGTAGTTTAAATTTTTTTACCTTAAATTCTTGTTATATTCAAATTTTCAAGTTAAATAACTTATGAAAATGTAATTTTCCAGGGCATGCATGAAATACTTGCAACGCTAATTTTTGTATTAAATTATGATCAACAAGCATTTGCTCATCTCATGGAACAAAATGGATTGAAGTAAGCTTTTTGTGCTATGAACATTGCTTTTTCATTCGGTTCATTGATGAGCGAAAGAAAATTTCAAGCGTAATTCTTTCAACTCGTGTGTGAGATCTTATATGATTTTAAAATTTATTTAACTATTTGTAGTACATATGCCTGTTCACTGCATTTCGGGTACTACTGTTGTATAAATTCAGCATCATTATAAATACAAAAGTGTTTTACTAATTAGTTGTTAACTTAAAGAAAGAATTCAGGATTTTTCTTTCTTTAATTTGCTCCGAAATGTAAAATTTGAATATTTTAGATCACTGTATTCATTTCAGAGAATTACCGCCAGAAGAATTAAAAATTTTATGCGTTGTCAATAATCAGGATTTTCTTGAACACGACTCTTTGTTCGTTTTCATACTTTTTTTGATATTAAATATTTCTACATGAACAGATTTATATAATTATATATGTTCGCTTATTAATATTATATATTTTTTAACTTTAAAATTTTGTATTTTCGGACAAAATTATGAAACATTTTTCCCATTTGCATGTTTGCTGTTTGCTTGCTAGGAAATCACGCAAATTTTTGGATCAGCTAGGTAAACTGCAATGGCGAAAAACTACAGAGTTTAGAGGCATCAGTTTCTTTCGTGTTTCCCGATCATTCACTCGACTATTTTCAAAAGAAGATTATAGGTTTCACTGATCTCACTCTCTGAATGTAACTTTCAACGAACTCTAGATAATTTGAGCTGTTTTTTTCTTTTTTTACTGGCCAGCAGTTAGCAATGTTTAATTGAATAATTTTAATTCCTTGATAAAATACAACATTTCCATTCTTGCACCACGTAAGTTAGCATGGATAACATTGAAAAGCATTTGGCTTAATGTTTATGAATCTTCTCCATGCCAACCTTATTACTGTATTTGCTTGAGATGTCATCTCTTTTTTTGCTGGTTTTTTGTCTGGGTTATTGCTTTATTAATTTTTATCCATAGTGAAATATTCACTCAATTAATGATGATGCTGGAACGATGGTACTTGGCGGGTGATGAGGAGTATGTCGAATGTGCCAATCGTACTTCGGAAAGTAATGGCAAATTAGACTATTCTGTGCCATTTGTTAGTCCAGATGATACTTCTGCTGACTCAAGAAATGAATTAATTATTAAGCTTCGAAGTATTATGAATGATATATTGGCAGTAATTGATCCTGCAATGCATCAGCATCTTTCGAAATTGAAGATTTTACCGCAAATTTATGGAATGTTAGTTAAAATTTATTTTCGAACTACCGAGTAAATTTTTTTTTCGAGTTTATGAGGGAATAAATAGTTTTCTTGAAATTTCAAAGATCAAAACCATTTAACCACATAAGAAGAACATCTACGGATTGAAAATGTTGACGTCATCCATGTGGTTATAAATTAGCTATGTATGAGTTATTTTGAAATATTTCATAATGAAGTCTTTATGATCAAAAATCTTTGACTTAGTGCTCCTATACAAGAATCATGAATTTCGATTATTCGAGTTATGGAAAATTTCGATTTTTTACAGTCGCTGGTTACGATTATTGTTTGGTCGCGAATTTCCTATTCACGATCTGTTATTTGTATGGGATGCTATATTCGCTTTCAGACCGCCGTTAGCTTTGGTGGACTATATTTTTGTCGCGATGCTCGAATACATTAGACATTTAAGTATGTTTGCATGGTTTTCCCAAACTTATCTCTCAAATACACTGTTGTATACATGGAAAATACTATTATGACTGAATTGAAGCACTGTTATATTTTAATAAGTAAATCCTTCATCACGTCGTCTATTCATGGCACTCGAAACAATGTTAATGTAGGATCATACTTTCAGTTATCAATGAAGATTACAGCACAACATTGCAATATTTAATGCGTTATCCACCAGTAGCTGATGCACATTCCTTAATTCAATACGCTTTGCATATCAAATCACCCAAAGTAAATTTTTTTTTTCTAGAACAACTCTCTTGTGTAGATTTTTATCATCTGTGAATTACGTCACTTGTTTATTTAATTCGAAATATTTATTGTTCAATTGTTTTTTCAACGGATATGGTATATTCCTTCCCTGAAACCTGAAACTCCTCGATTTGCTAATTTTCGCATTAGCAACTGTTCAAATCGAAAGATCAACTCACCATGCGTAATGCTTGCTTGACTGCATGATGCAATTTATGAGTCATTTAGACTATAAATTTTTGCAGAAGTTTGAGCTACTAAAATTTGCAGAAGTTTGAAGTACCACACATTCTTAATGTTACAAATTTCGAAAATATAACAATTGATGGAATGGTACATCCAAATCGAACCAGGGATGTTGTTGGAACGAAAGCTGTTGTAGAAAAATCAAAGCAAACAAATTTAGCAAAATTCTCATCATCAGGAATGACAGTTTATAATGTTGGTGAAAGACGACAACACGGTGATACTACTAAATCATTCGTTGCTAAAATTGTGGATACGTTTTCAGATCGAAACATGGTTGAAAGAGGTAACTTAATAGATGTGGAACTTATTAATATTTTACGAACTACTAACATTATTTTTGATTTAAAATAGATTTCATGATTTATTGAAAATCAATACGAAAGAATTTTGGTACTCTAATTGTATAGTGAAGTCAAGTGAGATATTGAATAAAGCCCTTGTTTGCCATTTTGTGATAGTTCAAAACTCAGACGCGCAATCGAAACCCTCTAGCTTTATTAGTAAATTTATTATTTTGTTCTCCAACTCATAGATGTAATATGAATATTGGAAAATTATGGAAGCAACTTCGTTTTGTTGTACACTGTTTTCGTTACAGGACTGATTCGTCCACAAATAAATTACAGCACAGGTGGCCATGTCAATATGAAGGCTTCAGATGAGGTCAGCTTATTAAAATTGTTTTATTTCCACAGAAGTCGTTCACTTTGTTCTTTATTTTATAGAAGTAATTGTAAGTATTGTTTTTAGACTTTCTGATTCAAACAACCATTTAGGTAATCGAGCTTTTGCAAGAGCAAGTGTCGTGTTTGCAGTCAAGATTGAATGATATGGATATGATAGCTAGTATAGTAAAGCAGAGGATTAATCTCGTGATCGGTATGTTCAACACTTTTTTATTACATTTTCTTCATACAAAAGTTAACCGTAGGGTTACTGAAATGTTTTTTCTGGACTGCATTTGTTTTTTAGATATAGATCAAACATTCACGGAAATTCTTCAGTTTATTTGTCAAATTTATCAGAACTGGTTGGACAATAAGTACAGGAATAAATTGTTCTATAGGGATTAATGATTGAATGTTTGTAATCTTTCCCATTAGTAGACAGTGATGGTTGAGGTTAAAGGGATATTCTGGAAAATATTTGAAGAATGATGAGTGAATGAATGAAAATTTTTGATCAGATAACATATACATAACTTACAGATAGTCCATAAAGCATATATATAATCCATATAGATAGTCCATAAAGCCATATAGATACTCCATATATGCTCAATGGAATCTTTCAGGAAACAAACTTTTTTTCACTTTCTTCAAAAATATAAATTTTTTTTCATCTAAATTATTTACCATATCACTTTTCCCAGATGAGCAACTGCCGAAAATAATTGGTAATGACGATTTAAAGGAACTAATAGGGAAAGAGTTACGTTGCATCCAGTCCCAGATTGAGAATTATGTACGGTCAGATGCTAATCAGGCAGAAATGACAGTTTCCGCAAGATATACAAGGGATGCAAGAAGAGTTGTACATGATACTGCTGTGAGGAGTGATACTATCGAAGTTGGCAGTGAAGTATATGCTTCGACAGTTCGACCATTCCATAATAGTACCGGTTCTCCTCCGATGCTACGGCCTCAAACTTCTCGATTAGACACTGAAATGCGTGAAATAAGACCTCATTCTGTTGTTCAGTAATGCATTCATGATAGTTCAGTTCCTATATTGATTCATATTGCATTTGATTCTAAAACTTTTGATTCTAGATTTAATTCTAAAACTAGCCGTTATCAAAAGTTGTCTTGTAAATCTTATATTCAGATTTTGTTTGAATTCTTGCTGAATGCTGAAACAGATGTTATTTATGAACCTTCTAATAATTAGAAATTAATCTTTTATTTTTATCATCGTGATAAGAATATCCAAAAGCATGTTTTCTCTGAATTTCCAACCACCCACTGATATTTTTAATCATATGTTTCATTCCACATATCTATACTCATGTATTGCGAACTGTTTTAGTACATTCAAAACATCAACATTCTATAAATTTTCTTCATTCTTTTATCTCTGCAGTTCTCTTCCTCTCATTCATTAATTTTTTTACTTTCATCATATTTTGTTGTATTTACAAAAAAAAAATCCTCAATTCCAGTATTCATAAACGAATATTTGTAGATATCATCATTTCGATCGTCGAGTAAAAGATAGTACTAATTTCATATTGCACTTACATAAAAATCATACTTATCATTTGCATAAATATATTAATTTTGCATCACAAAATTATATTGCGTTTAACATTGTGAGTATAATTTCCTCTAAATCAGGTAAATATAAATACAATTGATTAGCTCTGAGATTTAAACTATTAGTGATTGGATTAAAGTTCAATTCTACGACGAATATAAAAGTTTTTTTTTGCCATATTCTAGCAAAAAAAGACATATTTGAACTGAACAGGAATTAGAATCATTTCAATGAAAAATGCTTTGCATTTATCCCTTGTCCTACGATTTTATTTATTACTCATATAACGATTCAGCTATAATAGTTTTGTTAACCGTTCAAATCACCTTTACCTTAATTTTCACTTGTATTCAGTCCATTTACTTCATATTTCATTTACCATGAATTCTATATGCCGTAATATTTATAACAAAAAGGAAACTTCAATGGTAATTCCTTTCGAATGCTTCTTGTTAGATGTAACAAGTACTGTCAGATGCGGATTGATCAACGGACAACTTAACAATGTCATTTCGATTAAGTCTTTTTCCCGATCTAAAACAGCACTTCTGTAATTATTTCTTGTGGATTTCTCTCAAATTAAAATTCAAGCAGTTTTTTCTGAAATTTTAACATTCCCACCAAACTATATTGCGGTAAGAATATTCAGTAGTCGGGGATTTTGATGAGTATTTTTTTTGAATGAATGAATCTCTGATATTTTTCCAATTATAGAAATCATCAGAAGCATAAGACCGTTCCACCAATGAAAAAATACCAAAAAGCATAATGTTTTTTATAGTGAATGGAATTAAATAGAAGTTTGTTTGTAAATGAAAGAATTGAAAAGGTAAATAAGTTTAGAGTTTTCAAATTAATCGGAAGTTAACGTATCCTACAAACACAAGCAAAACAATAAATCTTTTAAAACGATACGATCAAGTTGAATATTAAAATTAGCAGATGTAATACTAATTTTGACATTTTGTTCATCTCTATCTCATTCAATTAATACAAACAATAATTATATTTCATTTAAATAATCTCAGCTCTTTTTTTTAATTTGCATCTTTAGATTTCCTATACGTCTTATTATTCTATTATATTCTTTTCAACTATAACTTTCGCATAACTTAACATTTGATTCAATTCGCATATTCATTCCTTTATATTTAGTTCTTCGATTTTACAGTGGAAAGATTAAAATAAATTATATATCCAACTTAACTGTATATACATATGTATATATAGTTAAGTTATCGATATCTAAAAGTATCATTCGAAATATGCATAATAAATTCTATGTTTATTTATCCGCTTCTGTGAAAGATTCTTTGAAAGTAATCAATCATTTATCTGTCAATCCCACAAATTTATGATCCTACTTCTTAGCTTCCTAGGAGTTATTGAGAGGTTATGTAGCATGACATCTAATAAATTTTATGATCGCTTTAATGATAAATTACGATGTATAACATAACATATCATTTAACTGTGATTGTAAACAAAATCATTCTGCATTCTTTTCTTTTTTTTTTTAGTTTATTAAATTTAAATTTGACTTTGTAGAAATCTTAAATATGATAATTATATTGTATTGGTGGGAAAATATACGAAAATGATAAATTAGTTTTTCAACTGTGTGAAATATCTGATAAATTGATAAGATATACAGGAATGATTTCAATGAGCAGAAGAAATTTATGCACACGCTTATGCAGAGAATAGAATTCTAGAAGTCAGGAAATTTGCATTATTTTCATAACGAAGTATAAGTAATGATTGTAATAAAGATTTTGAATATCCTAGCTCATTTTTTCAATCGTTGTTTTAACATACTAAGAATTGTTGTCGTAAGCCAGTGTATAGAAATGAGAAGACAGAAGTGAAGACGATTGCTGAGAGGACATATTATTTACTTCTAATTTTGACAGGAGCGTTTATAAAATCAGTTATTTTGATTCATAAAATGATCTGTATGTGATTGAGTTGATAAAGTGTAGTACTGCCAGAAGTTATAGGTCATCGATTAACAGTAAACAATTGGCAAATGCTACTATTAGCTGAAAGTGAAATGATATGAAATCATAAATAAACAATAGTTTTCGACTTCCAATAACTTTTCATATCCTAATATTTAGTTATGATAAGTTGAAAAAATATCATTCGATATATCTTACTCTTTCTGTTAGACCGACAAATACCAAATAACGTAATTGAGATTCGATTATTTCTTAATTGCATGAAAGGCAATTATGAGCTTAATGCGTAAAAGTGACAATTACTGTGACAATATAATGTCGCAATGTATTGATTTACAATGTTTTGAAAAGAAAGTGATTAAGTCGAGGTGTGTGTGTTGTTAATTAGTTCGTGAGAAAGTAACGATTTCGAAATTGTTACTCAAATTATTTCATTTTTTGATTTGGATGTATTTGCAATTCCAGTTTGCAATAATAATTACTTCGGTCATTTGCTGATAGAACCATTTTAATAGACTAGCGATCGTTTTCGATACTGAAATTTATATTCCATTAACTAATAATGCAAATTAATTTCTGTTAATAAAAAAGTTATTTAAAAGTCTATTTGCAGTTCCTATAATTTACTAAAGCGGCAATTAAAACGAATAAAAGAGAAAGGAACGATGAAAGGAAAAGAAAAGCTCAGAAGATCGACCATAATTTTAACCTTTAATTGCTTTATATAATCTGTTAATTTTCAAAAATCTCAATGGGAAAGTTAAAAATTCATAAAGAGAGATTTTCTTCAAATATATTTTGTCATTTAATATTGATGATATTTACTGAGGTTAATGAACATTTTCTATCAGTTGATGTGTTTAGTATTGCCAGCATAAACTTACTTCTATCAGTTGATGTGTTTAGTATTGTCTACATTAAAATGAAAGGTTAAAAATTAAATATATAGCATATTAACTAATAGTTTTTTTTTCACTTTAAAAGATTTAATTAATTTTCTTAAATTAAAATGAATAAAATATGTGAGAAGGAACTTTTCTTATCTGAATTAAATATTTATTGTATTTCTAAAAATTAGCAAAAGGAATGATAACAATGAAATATGAACTGTTAAATGATAATTCTATCATCAAATCGTATAACAATTTATATTATTTAGTAAATACTTTATAAGTTATGTTAATTTGTAAAAAGTTGGAGTATATTCTTCTAATTTCTCAAACACTTCACAATCCAATTCTTTCAAATTGAAAATGAAAGGATCGAATTTTGATCGCATTATAAGAGTTTTGAAATATCTTTAATCAGTCGGATTTATAGCATTGTAATATATAAGTGATAAAGCAGTTGAAATTTTAATTGATTATAATAAATAACAACATAATTCAGAGATATAACAAACTCGAAAACTTTCAAATTAGAAGAGTTTGAATTGATTCAGTTATGATATTTTAATCTGATGGGACTCAATTGATGCAATTTGTTGGAAGGTTTACGGAGACTGAACTGATATAATTAATATATATATATATATATTGAAGGAACTAACCCAATGAAATTCATATATTTTGAATGATTACAATTTTTAATGATAGTACAAACAATTATTTTTAGCAAAAAAAAGCTTAACAAACATCATTTGAACTGTTTTAGCTCAAGTTGATAATCTTAAAAAAAACGGATAATTGAAGGGATACTAATCTGCTTTATTTAAGATGATAAGAGTTAAGGTCAAAATTTTAGATGATGAGAATTTTGGGATATGAATTTGAATTTTTATACGAAAACCTTAAAACTATATAAGTACAAACTGAAGTGAAACTTTCTCATCAAATTTTGCAAAGAAATAAAATGAGAAATTTTTTGATTTCATCCTTTATTTTTAAATGAAAATTGTTTAGATGGAATGGTACTCTTAGCTTTTTTTTCTTCGTTGAAAATATCGCATAAAAATAGAAAATCATCGAAAATGATATTTTAAGAAAAGTTCCATAATCATAGATTATTTCTTCAATAAACAAATCAGTATTGCTTTCATCATCGTAATATTAAAAGGATAATTATGGGGTAAGTGCTTGTACCATTACAATTTCGATTTTATGTGAACAATCAAAGAAGCTAACGTCTAATGATAATTTACTTGCTCGCAATTTCTTATCAAAATTTTCCTTGTTTTAATTTCAAAATCTACATTATTAATTTAGTGATTAATTTTTTAATTTAGTGATTAATTTGATGATTAAAAGCCATTGTTAATTTAGTGATTAAATAAAAAATCCGTTTAGGAAAATCAATTTATGACATTTTGCAAACTTAGATTTGCACTTTCCAGAGCTGATACATCATTTTTAGCATGATACATTCATTAGTGATATCTAAATACTTAAAATGTTTGTTCAAAAAAAAACCATACTTCAGATTCATACAAATTCTCACGCAGGGAATAATTGATGTCACAGCATCATTGGAAAGTTGTGATTCTTACTGCTATAATTCATCGTCAAATAGATTATAAAATTCATGAGAAGCTAATTATAGTTGACGGTTTTTAAGAACTCTTCTGGTCAAGGAGTGAGGTCATAATCATTGTATCTGTTGATTGAAAGTTAGTTTAACTCCCTTCTTTTGATTACGTAAACAGATAGCATCATCTTTTTCTTTTTCGACATCATTTGGATGAAACATTTGGAAAAATATCGTAAAAATTTCTTTTCTGCATCTAATTGAAGGCGGAGCAGTGACCAATAAACTAAGATAGGAGGGATTTCGAGTTTGGGAAAGATATAAATAAACTTATTTCTGAACAACAGAAATCATTCACAGCGTCATATTTATAATTCGTGTTGGATTCAGCAAAATATATCGGTGAAGGAAATGGAAAAAATCGAAAGCAGGACGCCCGAGAAATCGAAGTGCAAACATCCAGGACCGCCTCCGCATCAACCAACTTTTACGTCAGCGCCATATTGTTCCCGACAATGTTCGTGTGAGAGACGAAAGAAGTGTAACGAAATACATGAGGAAATCATGAATCGGTTGATGAAACGCGTTAGTTACTTTTCAGAATATAAAGAGAAAGAGAACGGGAATCTGATATCACATGATCAAATTATCAGTGTTATTTCTGATTTTGTTGTTGCATTCTAATTACTTAAGTTTTTCCGTCTCAATTGCAGGAACAGTTTACAAAGAAAGAGCTAAAAGATTCCGGAATTTTTTCGCCGGATGATGAATCGGACAAAGAAAACCGTCCCCAAAGGAACTTTGCAAAGTGTACTGCGGATGCTTGAATTCATGAAAGGCAAAGAATTAGTGGCCTCATTAGCAACAGTTGCAGTGTAATTCGTTCAAATGCAGCAATAATATTTATTCTCATTATCTGTAATCAAAGTTGTAATCACTACAACTTCATTCTTCAATTTTACTTCATTCAAATTGTTAAGTAAGTTTTCAGCTGGAAAAAAACTAGCAGTATTTTTCACTTAAATAACGCTTGCTTTAATTGATTGAAATAACTTTTTAAACAATAAAATTTTTTATTATATAATGTTTCGTATACGATATAATCAATATCGGTAAACCGTTTCTGATTAAATTCTCATATTTAATTATGAAATGAAAAATGAGAACGAAATTAGGTTAACTATTTCAGTTGCGTTGCATTCTTTCATTCTACCAATAAGTTTATAAATGAAATAGCATAAAGTAACAAAGGATATATATATATAATCGAAATTTTTTAATAAAAATAAAACAATTGTTTGCTAAGAATAAGAAACGGAAAATATCAAAGGAATAAAATTTGATTCTGAATAATTTGTAAATATAAATTTTATAATAAATATCCGTGATCAATTATTGTAATCAGAAAGTTAAAATTTATCAGGAATTATGGCAACTAATTAAATTTGCATAATAATATGGCATCTAATTAAATTTGCATAATTTATTAGTTATGATCAAGAAAAGTTTTCAAATATAAGTCAATTAAAAAAAAAATAGATCGAACAAAATTATTATGATAAGATTTAAAAAAGCTTTCACGTACAGACAGACACACACACATACTTAACTGTTTTCGATTTTCCACTGGGAAGTATTTTGTTAGTAAACATTAGCAAAATTATTTTGTAATAATAAGCTTTCGAGAAAAGATAGTTCGAATAAATTATTTCTTCAGATGAGAAGGAAGACATTTCTTTTAATCGATTATTTCAATTAAAATCATTTTAATCACTTCCCATCCATCATTCTTTTTACAAAATTTCAACTTGTCTAAACTGTTCGAATAATTTAATTCTAATAATTAGCATAGTAACTTTAACTATTTCACTGGTTGCAAAAAAAAAACTAATATAAGAATGAATTCTTGGATGTCGGATAATCCGGTTATCCGGTAAATTATATCTTAGCTTTTTCTCTTTCTAATATTGAAAATTATTGTGACTAATACAGAACAATTAACTGATGTTCGAAGATCTGAATAATAAATCTGAATAATTAACTGATGCTCTAAGATCTGAATAATAAATCTGAATAATTAACTGATATTCTAAGATCTGAACTTCTTCGTATTACGATTTCAGATAACATTTTTTTTGAAAAAAGTTTTGATATTATCATTTACTTTTTATTTGGTTTGCTGGTGAAAATATTTGAAAATTATAAAATATAGCTAATTTTTATAGTACCATCAAAGTTTAATGGAATAAATTAACTTCAGTAAAATAACTTTTGAATTTCAGAATTGAAAAAAATTAAAGATAACCTTACAAAAGAGTTTGAGTTACTTGGTAATGCCCATATAGGAAGTCATTCTTCAGGTATGCGAGAAACCATACGATATAAAACTGTCCAGCATGCGTGTGTCCTGATAAAACCAATTAATGATAACCTTAAGATTGGCTTATAAATAATTCTTCAACATGTCCTATTCCTAATATAATACAATCTTTCTTCATCTTCACTATTATCATTTCTAGTACATTGATTGTTTTTGATTACCAGACATTAACTACATCTTCCACGTCGTTATAAATCATCATAATCATATCGAACTCCGATAATTTATCCATATGTTGTTTTCTGGTTGTTACCGTTAGAATACTATCTTTGTAATTCTTTTCTAATTTATTTGTTGAATCAATTTCAAATTATTCATCCTTAACCTTATTAATTCCAAATTCATCAATCCTAAATGTTTCATTCACTTCTATTTGTGAAAAATGGCAATTTTTTTGATCGTTCCGAATAAATTTTCCAAATTAGTAAATTATCACAATAGACATTGTTTTGAATGCTATTAAAGTTTTTAATAATTTTATTGGCTATATTCTTTATCAAAATCAATTAAAAATATCGCTTAATTAAATCAATAATAATTAATACGTACACAATACTTTCTCATTGCTTCATAAATTAAGGCTAAAAAAAATTAGATCAATCAGAATTAGCTAAAAAAAAATTCTAATTTTAGTAATTTGAATATTAATAATTCTAAAAAGTTATATTTTATAAGCTAACAGAAATAGCAAAACTAAAAGTAATGGAAATTTAAAATAAAATAATATCAAAATATTGTAATTGCAAATTTAGGATTGCAAAAATTTTAATAAAATCAATAAGATGGAATTAATTTTAATAATTTCGATCAAACAGAAAACAAAAATTTTTAGGGTAAATCAAATCAACGACGCCGTATTGATAAATGTGCAAGAAATTTTACAATAAATTATCTTTACTACTGATAACTTATGGAAATGTGGAAGACAAGGAGAATTAAACGTTAAGAAGCTTTAGATTTTTGCATAATCAAAAACAATATTTGATCGAACTTGAATCTGTTAAACGTACGTCATTTCTGCTTGAAACTTCCGAGGATATTGTAAACATAGTTATTGATCTTCTTGAAGGTCAACCTTAGAAATAAAACTTTCCTTTATCATATGGAATTTATAATTCATATAAAACAGATTTTGAACACAAAAATTACAACTTTTAACTGTTTACAAGCCAACTTTCCAAACTATTGCTAAATGTTTATTTTCAATTTCAATATTGCCTCTTTTCCTTAAGTTCACTATCCGATCCGATAATCATTCCATCATCCCAAATTATGCGGATTATCATTTCTATTTCTCGACTTTTTAAGACTAGATTCAATCTAACAATTATTATTATCATTGTAGCTAATAACATTTGTTTTATTATTATTATTATCATTATTATTATTTGTACTTAAATTCTGATTACTTAAATTAATTCAAATCATAAGTGTTCAAGAATGATATTATAAAATAAGATGATTGATATGTTTAAAATAGGTTAAGTTCACTTTTAGATAATATAGTTGTTTTCAACAATTGAGCTATATAATTCTAATTTTTATTCTGTTCACATCAATTAATTGTTTTAACAAATAATGACATTTTTGTTTCTATTCATTCAATATGTTCCGTTTTCCTTTTCATATTTATTTGAAAACACTAATTAGTGGAACAATTATCCAAATTATTTTTCATTTAATGAAATTCTTTTAAAATCATTGTTAAATAATCGTAATAACTAACTGCCTAAAAAAATAATACTACAAAGCGAACAATGATCATAGCAAGTTTTATGAGACATCTAAGAGTTGTTGAAAAGAGTGCTGCAAAGTTGGTGTCAAAAATTTAAACCATAGAATAAATATTATTTATAAATAATTTTGTTATATATATATATATATATATATATATATATATGCATATTTGTATTATTGTATAGATGCCGTTATATATTTATGCAAATATTTGTATGCATATTTCACATTTTATGTTTGGGAATCGATTTTTATCAAATAATTAATTTAAAGAAAACAAAGCTTTCATCTGAAAGCAACGAAAAATTAAATTTCAAACAGAAATTTTATGAAATTCAGCCAATCACACATTTATTTTTCTTACAAAAAAATTTATTAAAATTAATAGATTATTTATTTGTTATCGTATGAAATGCATTATTTACATATTAAATTGTTGAAGTGAAAATAATTCGAACGATAATATTAAGAGTTGAATAATTTATCTTATTAATTAATTATTATCATATTTCTGATCACTCAATCATTTCGAAAAATCAGTTTTTACTTTTCTACCAATTAAAATTATAGAAAAAAACTAATTATAAACATACATAGACATACACACACACACACACATACATGTACACACACAAACAGACAGGCACAAAGTGAGATCCAATCGACTTATGTAACAATATCGAACGACAGTTTCATCTACTACAAATGAAACAATTTATTATGGTGCAATATTGACTGATGCCTTTTTCGGTACAGGTAATTATGCGAAGAAGAAGAACAAAAGAGATTATTGGCATTATGCATTAATAACATATCGAAAATTCAATTTTTTTAAATTATGAAAATTTCGTTAGATTCATTTAATCTAACATTCATGTAAGTAATATTACTATTTTTGTTAGGTAACAAAAAGCAATTGGAATTTTTGATGGTAATTTTCATAGGGCAACATTGATTAATGATATATTTGTTAGTTTCGAATCATTAAGTGGAAAAAAGACAATATTGTCTTATATCATTAATCAATGTTGAAATGACAATGTATCAAACATGCAACAGAAATTATCAAAAATTTTTTTATTTCGAATCCCTCAGTTCTTTAACAGAATTATTATAACTATATATATATATATATATATATATGTTTTGCTTTGCTTATTCATTGACTACATGGAACGATTCATATCCGAAATGCGTATGTTAGGAAAAGTGAAACATCCTTTCCAGAAAAAATAATTAGCATCGGAAAATTCAAAGTTGAAAAAATCCCTATTTCGGATACAGTATTATCGCTTGCTTATGTGTTGCATTCATAAAAATAACCGGAAAAAATTTGAATATATTGGGAAAGCCTGAACTATGATATATGAAGAATATAAGAAACTTCAGATAAGACTGATAGTAATGGTGAACAATTCATATTTTTCGTCGTCCTTTATAGGCCTTTATCATATTTCACTAATTGTGGCATGAATGTAATTTGGAGATGACGGAACTGGGATAATTAAAATTTTCCATTAAGAAATTTTATCATTAAAAAAAAAAAATTAGATTAAGTCTTAAATTTCTTCCGTTTCATTAAATTATCGCATCTTTGTTCCCAAACAATATTTTTCTTCTCTTTTCATCTCTGCGAGATATTAACTTTTATGAAATGAAATGAAATTCAAAAAAATCAAAAAATTTCGGTATTATTTTGTAGAAATTCTATCATTCTTCATTACTCAAAAATTTTAGAAATTCTATCATTCTTCATTACTCTTTTTAAAAATTGCCAAATATAAGTGTAAGTCGGCAAAGATACAAAATATATAATTAAATTGAATGAAATACAATTTTCAATTTGCAACTGAAAAATCATGGAGAAAGCCCATCATGTCAAATAGTGTGATTCTAGTGGAACAATAATTTCAGTAATAAAAATGATAATAATAATAATAATAATAAGCAATAATAATTATTATTATCAATTATAATTATTATTAATAATAATTATAATTGATAATAATTAATAATAATAAATTTCTTTTAAATACTTTTTGTATTCTATTCTATTTCATTCCCATTCATACTTTAGTGATATTTGATTGCATTTCTTTAAGCGAAAGAGGAAGAATTGTGAAAGCGTATGGGATAGACAGAAGCGTCAACTTTGACCTTGAAAAATTTTCGAACAATTACTAATGATGCTATTTCTTAACTGCTTGCTTCCTGCTACCACTCATCCTCAAATTATCTCAACACTATCTATGTGAGTATGTCTCTGTCTGTACGAAGTAAATGTATTTTCCAATAGCCAACTTCTTGAATTCTTCCATTTCTCTTTTATTTCAATTATTTGAAAGTAAAATTTTTAAAAACCAAAATTGTTTCCTCAAAAAAAAAAAACAACAAAAATAAGTGGGAATAAGATAAGAAGAAGAAGAAGGAGAAAGAGAAAGATAGATGAACATTATCACCACCGATAAGGGAGAAGAGGTGGAAGGAAGAAAGGGGCAGAATGCGGTATGTGTCAAAGTGCGATGATTAATCATCATCAATCGTAAATTGTTGACCTTGAAAATCTTTTTTTGTGAAAAAGCTACCAAACGAAAGCCATTTTATCATTGATGACAATCTGTCTCCTCCTCTTTAAGGCAGCATCCTTTTATGCCTACCTTTTTCAAATCAACCTTTGCACCAAATTTCATTTTCATTGCCCTTTTCTTATCTGACTGCATACTAATGCCAATTTGTTCAACAACTTGTTATTTCCTTTTTAGAATTGAAAATTTCATCATAAAGGTAGATGGCATATCGAAATTTTATAATACTTTATTCATTTCATTACTTTATTCTTACTCACCTTAGAGTGGCAGTAGTAGTAGTAGTAGTAGTAATAATTGAAGTAATTTTGAGTAAGTTCATAGGGTTAAATTTCATTAATTTTGATTTGATTAAAGTTCTTTTTCTTTTCCCTTTATACTTTATGATGATTTAACAACAAGACTATTTATTGTTTTAATTCTTTCTGAACTTTGTTTTAGATCGAAAAGTGAAAAAAATTTCTTCAATGACGAATGGCAGAGAGTAGCTCCAGTTTTAGTGATAATGCTCCAACATTTTCCGGGAGAAGCTCAAAAAGGTGTATAATTTTTATTTCACCTTCTCCATTAACATAATTTACAATTAATTAGCATTAACATAATTTACATTTAATTAGCAAACTGTTGGCAACAATTTTTTCATTAGTTAGTTAGTTGTTTTTTTTAAAAAAAATATATATACGTAATGTTAGTAGTATAAATTTATTTATTAATTTATTTCATTTCTTTCCATATTTTTCTTCAGAAAACAATTTACAGTAAAACTATGCTTGAAATTATATTATGATAGAAGAATAATTAATCGTATTCATATGATTTTTCTAATTAAACGATTGATTAGTGCTAATAAAATCTAAGCAACATTACATCGCTACAAAAAGTTCTAAACTTTTCTCTCTTCCAATACAATATTCATTTGAATTAAATAATATCAGAAGTCTTTTGGATGAAAATTTCTGTTTGAAACAAATTGGTTGGAAACATTAATAATCAAACATTTTAATGAAATTAAAAATCTAAGAAAAATTCACTGTCATATTTGTCATTTAATTAATTATATATTTATTGTTGCAGAAAAACTCGAAATGAAAGTGAAAAACGACGACGAGATACTTTCAATCGGTTGATTGGTGAATTGACATTGTTAGTTACAAAGGGCGATCGTAAAATGGATAAAAGCAGCGTGTTGAAGTGCGCAATCAATTTCCTCAAACAACAACATTGTTGGTTATTTCAAAATTTATCTTATCGTATCACGCAAGATTACGAGATTACACGTTGTAAGCATTGAGGAATAATGAGAGAGTTAGAATAATGAGTAACGAAGAATGGGTGCATGAGAAAATTATGAGAAGTAATAAAGAAAAACCAACAAATGTTTAAATATGTAAACATAATTTGAGTCATTAGCTGCTAGTAACATGATTTAGTGAAAATCCTGATCGGTGATATATAATTACCATCAATTAGGAATGATAAGGAATGTTGAAAATTTAAAAAATTAAAAGTTAATCTTAATAATTATCCCATATGCAAAAGTGCACAATTATCTCTTATGCAAATTGCGCAATCTAATTTGAGCATAAATTTAAAAATATTGAGATATGAAAAAAACTTTTGCAGTTCAAGCCCAATCGACAAGTGATGAAGCATCGGACATAGCATTGGATTCCAAGTTGCGCATCACGACCGGTTGCAATCTTCCGGAAACTGTTCAACTTTATATGGATGCTCTGGCAGCTGGGACTTTTTGCATTCACTGTTCGGGACATATTGAACATGCATCCACAAGCTTTGCTGCACTTTTTGACGATGAAGTAGTTATCTTCAATTTTCAACAATTCTTTGCCATTATTATCACTCATCCTTCTCATATTTACTTATTCATTCTTTTAAGGTTAAAATAAGAATAAAAAATTTCAGCATTAAAAAATTGAAAAAGTTGAAATTAAAATTCCTTAACAAAACTTTCGACAATAAAATTTCTTAATCCAACTATAGCATTATGGTTGTAAAAATTAAATTGCAACATCGTTTCGCTTATTGCTTTCAATTTAATCTTCGCATGAGACCGATATAGTAAATGTAGTTTTCATTATTTGATCATTTACACAAGCAATTTATGTCCATCTTCAAGTACTTACCGGAGTTCTTTTCTGTACTAATTAATTAATCGGTTTTTTTAAAATATTAATTCATCTGTCCAGAAGAAAATGAAATGCAATTTTGTTCACTATCGCACATTTTTTATATTTTTATAATTTTAATATTTGCATTTTAATATTTAGTTCTTTCTTATCCATTTATTGCCACCAAAAAATTGGTCTTTATCACCAAGGAATTAGGATATCTCGGGTTTTAATAAAGTAATTGCAGTTAGTCTATAATAGTTCTAAATCATCTCTAATCATATTAAATTGGTAATTTAAAATGAGTAAACATAAAATCCTATAACTTCTTTTTCATTTTTTTATGTTAACTTAAGCTTTATTAAATTTCCTTAAATTTTGATTTAAAATTTCTTTTAACTATCAAATATTTACTTATTTATAAGAATGTCATTTCTTTAACTGAGAAATTGTAAACTTAGATTTTAAGCTAAGAATAAATTTAAAGGAGCACGAATGATAGATGACAGTACGGATGTTCTTGCATAATTTCGCATGGCACATGCAACACGAAAAATTTAAATATTGCATCGTTGCCATAAATTCCATATAATAAACATGGAAGATGAAAAATGGAAATCATTAAATTTAAAAAAAACAGAGAGTTTGTTGAAAGGAAAAAAATTTTAGTATCGGTCATTTAAATTCAATTATCATTTCATTTCTTCTTTAGTTGTTAAGCTTTAAAATTTTCTGAATTTGAAATTTACACCAGAATAAAAAATTTATTTCTAAAATTTGAAGGTTTCAAATAATTTATCAGTTCTATCATTTTATATGAAATTAATTGAAGAAGAAAACGAAATGAATTTTTCAGATCTCTGAATTACAAGGGAAGAATTTCTTCGATTTACTAGATGATACATCAGCAGAAAGCTTCGGTGGAGCTGTATCCACCGAGGTATTACAGTTTGTATCCACTAGTACCACTATGCATAGTAAAACGACTCTTCGAGAAACAGTTACAACGAAGAAATTACGTCGGCAGCTACTGGTCACTGGTTATTTGAAGCAAATAACACATAATAAGGATCGCTCATGCATGCCGGATACGGTTACAGAAAGTGGAATTGATAATAGCACAGCAAGGATTATTAAAATTATGGTAGATTTTGTTTTTTTTAAATTTTTGTCTAACATTTTCTATTTCTTTAACAGTGAAAATATTTAATTTAGTTTTTTACTCTTTAATTAATACATTCTGTTTTTCGTAGAAATTAATATATTTCATTTTATTAAATTAATACATCCTATTTTACTGTATAAATATGAATTTTGAAATTGGATTAGGAAAGAAAATAGAATTTATTAGGAATTTGCATATATTTATAGTTATTTTTCAATAAATGAGGAAGGTGTGATAGTTTAATTTTATGATTGAACTTAGATTCATTCATTTATGAATTATATTTTTACCTTTTAACAATTTTATTAGTAAGGAATAAGTTAGAGAATGACTGGCTGGCATGAATTTCTTTTTTGTGATTTAAGCCATTCTCAACTCATTCTTCAATTATTCCAAAAATTTTTCAATATTTTTCTCTAACAATTCATATCTTCTTCTAATTAAAAAATATATATATATGATATTGAAATTATTTAATTATAATCTTTTCTTTTGTATTCGATGTCGGAAACCTTGAAATATTATAATTTCCTTAGATGATCTGATAACTCTTAAGAAGGAAATGATATGGAAATAAGACATTATATTAATTATTATTCATAGAAGAGCATAATATTAGGAACCAAATGAATCTCTCCGGTTTGTTGGTGTTATTGTTCCGTTATCAAATCGGCCAGAATCAGAAGTAACGCTGGAAACGATTAGTTCGTGGGAACGAAGAAATGCTAATTTCACCATACTCTACAATACTGAATTCGTTTGTGTTGATGCTGAAGGATGGTAAACATTTAATTTGATTAACGATTTAGTTTATAAACTATTCATTAAGTTTTGATTTAATTATAAAACCTTTCTAAACATTGTCCTTAGAGCAATATTAAAACAATGAATACAATCTTCGTGTGTAAACAACAAAGAAAGTTTTCAATCTTAATATTTGAATTATTTTACTTTATCCAATTAATACTTAGCAGATTATTTGCATACCTATTGTTTAGTTTAAATCGATCAATTCATTATACTTAATGATAAATAAGAATCCATTCTTATCCTTCAATAATACGCTATTTTTTTTAATTAAAATTTATAAGAATAAAAATAAAAAAGAATTCTCTCCATGTTAATTATTACTCTAAAAAATATTCTGATTTGATATATGTAATTGACAATGGTTATTTTCAGTCAATTATTAGGTTATAGTCGATTTGATCTACTTGGAACAAGTGGTTATGATTATATTCATATGGATGATTTGTTGCAAGTAGCTGAAAGTCATACACAACGTAATTTCATTTATCATCTCTTTGTACAAATGGAATTTTAAATAATATTTCCTGAAAGAGAAATTTCTAAAACTCTTCTTTAAACTACAGGACTTAATAATTTCTTATAAATTTCATTTATGATTATTTGTTGATTACAATATTTCGACATGTATTTTCTATTTGCTTTTTCTAGTGATAAAACTTGGCACCCATCAAATAAGACCACATCGATTACAAACAAAATCAAATCAGTGGATTTGGGTTAACTGTACTGCGATTATTGAAACTCAAAGGTCAATTAAAGGTGTACGATGTAATTATAATGTTATAAGCATGGAAAATGTGAAGAAATTCAAAGAAACAATTACATCTGTAAAAGTAAAATCCGCCGAAATTCCATCATTGTCAACAGGTAAAAAAAAAAACAGATCATTTGATAATGTTAAAGGTGAAGTGAAATGATTAAATATGAATTTATCGATCAATGAATTTATCATTCTTTTGCTTTGATCTTTCAAATATAATCATTCACAACACTTTTCTAAGTTATCTTTTTTATGGAATTTTCAACTAGTTTCATATAAATTTCGAAATTTTTAATAGCAAGTAGTGGAAACAGTTCACAAAATGGTCGTTGCACTAAATATGTTATCAGTACCGTTGTTTGTCTTTATCAATTACTTCACCATCGGCGATTAGAAATGATCTCACATCATTCTCTCTTATAAGTTAGATAATTTTTTTCACTAAATATAGAAATAATACTTTTTCTTACCACATAAGTTACGCGATATACATGTTTGTTACAACTGGCATACATAAACGAATGAATGATAATGATTCTACAGATAGCAATTTTAAATTATGAAAATTGTTAATGAAATAGATGACTCTTCATCGGAACATGTTAATGATTCCGTATCCATTATCGCTTCCGAGAAACATACCAAGAGCAGTTGTACAGCGAAAATAATTATCGGACCGTTACCATCAAAAAGAATGCGAAAAGGAGGATCAAATGAATCACCAGGTAGAATAAATAAAATTTCATTTAAAAATTTAAAAAAATTTTAGCCTTAATGTAATAAATTTTCCTTTGCTGATATTCAATTTAAAATTAGCATGATTTTAGGATATTAGCGAAATAAAATTTTTGAAAATAATGTTATAAGGCTAAAGTTAAACTGAATTTGTAATACTAATTTGAAGTTATTTAGCTGTCATTATTATTTTTGTTGACATTGTAATGAAATGACTGCCTATTACAATTAAATCTTATGATATATATATATTAGAGGGTCATAACATTCCTTGTACTCAGATAATAGTTCGTCAAATTCATTCGGACATACATCATCGCTCTGTCAACGGCCGTCCACTGCGCTTTCGTCACTATCATCAGAGATATTGTCATCAAAACGGCGCAATCAAATTCCTATAGCTTTTATTAAACATTATCCTTTACCGGATTCAAAACTGACAACTGCTGAAGTGACATCAGCAGTTAATAGCAACGAATCACATATAAATATATCAAATTTGACTTCATCCTCTACATCTATGGTAGAATTTTTTTTCACATTTTAGAACATTATCCTTTATCGGATTCAGAATTGACAACTGCTGAAGTGATATCAGTAGTTAATTTTTAGAAGAGAATCAATGTATCATTGTTTATTTGGAACTTTTTATTTATTATAATATAAACGATCAATTTGTTTATATTATAACTTCTTCTTAATTATTTTTTTCTTGTTATATTTTGAGAAAATTGAGGAAATGTAGTATTTTTTAATTTAAAAATTAAGGTTTTTTACATTATATAATTTGAATAATGTGACTGACAGGTGACACCAGCAGCTTTATCAATATCACCGATATATCAACAAGTTTGGGAGGAGTTGCAACACCGAAGCGAAATATTACGTCAGCAAGTGTTTCAGAAAGAAATGGAACTTCGTGAATTACATCTTAAAAGATTTCTTGCATCATTACACGGTGATAAATGTTAAAAAATTTTTTAACAAAATTTCAAAGTATCAATCAATTTATAATGACAGGAATGTGAAGCAATCTGATTTGTTAATGTAATTAATTAGTGTATTTTGTTTTTAAATGTGTTTTCTTCATGAAAAAAAATATTTAATGTAAATAAAAATGAATGTCAGATTTTTAATTTTACTATTAGTAATCAATAAAGATTGCGATTAAATTAGAAAAGAACACAACAGTGTGATTGTTTAATTGATTGTTCGAAAGATCGTTTTGTCTTTATTTAGAGGACTGTACTTAAGGTGAAAGATATTATTTGTTGCAAGTTGAAGTTGAAGTAGCAATGAATTAATGTAAAGATAATGAATCAGCGAGAAATTCGAAAACATGCTTATGAATTCGATGTGAGAAGCACATTTCAATCATTTATTCTCATTAGTAGTATTATCTAACAAAGATTGGCTTAATAACCAAACGAAATTTGCAATTTGAAAATTCCACACACTACTAAGCAAATTAATTTCAATTATTTATGACAAAGTGAAACTTCTAAATTGACCTCTCTACTTAAATAAGATGGAAAATTTGTATAATACTCTCGTTGATAGGCCTTTTACATCAATTTCTTCCGTTATCTAACTTTTCATTCTTATCGTTTGGTCGAATTTGAATAAATATCAAACAATCAATCGCTCATTACCGATTATTTGTAATTTCAAATAAGCTTAAATTTTGTAAAATAGCCATATATTAATAAAATTTTTAGCGATTCTTACAAATATACCTTCTGGAATACTCAATATTAATGGATGTTTTCGATTTTTATGGTATATCATTGATCATTGATTGATCTATGATCTTTGAAAGTTATGTTATCATCGAAGCAGATTGATTTTCACATTTGTGAATATCTCTCAAAATTGATGGAGGAAAGGAAATTTTTATCCATTCTATTGTATGCAATATTAGAAATTAAAATGATATTAAACTCTCATATATCTTCAAACTTTATTTGCTTTTTATAAACAGAAATATAGCATATTTTGAAATTCAGTAAATTTCTTCTATACCTACTATGGATAACAGTTGTGATCTTTTACCATAATTAGTCAATTCTGTACTACATTTTGTTTACACTTCAGAATTACTTACTAATCAGTTCAAAATAATTAAGAGTAAAGGAAAATATAGCTGATATTAATTATAGTATAAATATTAACTAATAATGATAATAATTATTATGATCATCTCTCGATGAATGATGTTAGATGGAAAATATGATGAAATAAAATATTATTTATTAATGACATAATTAAGAAATGTTAATTGCAAATGGATGAATGAACAAATAAATTCCAATTTTTTGCTTAAAATAAATTTTTACTTTTGTTGCATATTTTTGATAATTTAAAAAAAAATTTAATTAATTATTTGCATGTTTTTGGCAACTTACAAATCTTCTAAATGAATAATTCATTCAAAAAATATATTTTGTTTTGACATCTAACAATTAAACTTTGTATAGGTTAATAATACGTTAGAAAAGAGGAACGAACCTTAACTCTTATAAATATGATAATAAGCTAATAATAAGCATGATTCATCAATTATTTTTTACTAAAAAATTTTTATAGCAAACGTTTATTGCTTGAAATTGAAAATTGAATAGTTAAAATAATTGATGAGGTAAAAGTAAATTCTTGTAAAAATGTGTAATAAATTCATTATGTACCAATGGTTAATATTATTTTGAATGATAATTACTTTAATCACTTACAATTAATTATACAAAGAAAAATTTTGAATGAATCAATCTACCGTAGTCCTGTTTAATTTTGTTTCAGTTTATTTGTATCTCAAAACAAAAAATAAATTGTAATAATTATTAATAGAAGATAAACAATTATTGTTTGGTAAGAAAATTTCGCACTCAAATATCAATTTTTGTTTCGTCAGATATGCAAATAATCCTTTTTATCAATTAACAATATATTAAAACTTTCTGATATGCCTCTGTTTATTTCTTATCAATTATTTTTTTTTCAATAACATTCCGAATATGATAAATCCTGACAATTGGTTACTGTACAGAGACAAGACATCATCCAGTAGCAGTACTCAGCTGAAACAAAGCAAGTTAAAAGAAATTATTAACTATTTAGAAATACTTCTAATCTTTGCAACTTTTACAGTTCAAAAATTCAAAGAAACTAAAATAGATATGTTTACACTAACCAAATGGATTTAGTACGGATGCTTGAAGAATGCATTGACTGCATAATTCCCGTGTGCATTCATCATAACGATCATTTGATTGTAAACATTGCGACATAATATCATTCGGTGAACATCCTGCAAGACACATTCCTTCATTTTCCAAATTTCAATCAACATAACAATGCATGCAAACAACACTTGCAGTTATGCATAATTGGTAACATTTAGAAGCAATACGTTAATAATTAACTTTCTAAAAAAATAAACTTCAATAATTTTTGATAGGTAAAATAATCACTTATGTCTAATTTATTATTCGCTTTAATAAATTTTATTATTTCTGCTAATTAATTTAGTATATCTGTCTATATATTTTAGGATATCTATCAAGATTATAACGTAGCTCAAATGTTTGTCATTTATTTCACTAATTGATTTAAATTTAAAAAGGAAGAAAAAAAAATATGAAAATATTTTTTTTGTAAACAAACCACGTGAGTTTCTGCGTAAATAACGTGGATATGCAGCTGATCCCGCTCTAACAACATTATTCTTATTATCGTTAAAAAAATTTCCCGAGCTCACAGATAGTATCAGTAGCATTATGCATAATTTACTGTTAATATACATTTTATCTGTAATATAAAATATGAATAGATAATAATATTAAATATTAACAGTTCCTTTCATACTTATTTAATTTGATTTTAATATTAAATATCAAAAAAGAACATCAATATTTTAGGTAAGAAAAAATATGAAACTAATAAGATATCATTGATAGAATGAATCATAGGAATGAAAAATGCTTTAAATGAAATTAACTCCAACCAACCAATTTGATTTATATATTTCGATGAGAGAAGAAATAAATATTCCGATACAAAGAATGAATTGATGAAGAAATAAGAAGAAATGTTTCTTTTAAATAAAAGTTAAATATTAGTAATAGAAGGTGTCACCAACATAGTTGACATATAAAAAAGCATTGAACTATGAATAATTATAAGTAAGGATTAAGCCGTAGAGAAATCTAATTTACTGCTTTTTTAATTTATGATAATTAGCGGGCAGAAAAGTAATACTTTTCTCTTTGCAGTTCATATTATTTCTTCTCCTATTTCTTTCATTTTTTGCACAGAAATAAATTTTGTTAACTTAATTTAACATTAAATAATATGTAAATTAAGAATGAAAGGCCTTAAATGTTAAAATATTATCAATTAACTCATTAATTGAATCAAATGATAATATCAATAAGTCGAAAATTTTCATCCAAACATGAAATAGTAAAGAATATTACTATTACTTATTGTTTTAACAATATTTCATATAATTTTTTATTAAATAATTCACTTCTAAAATTTCAGAGTATTTTTTGAAAGATATTTTCTGCAATTATTTCATTTATTATTTTCAGAAATTATTAAATAAAATCTATAAATACATAATGCCGAAAACATACACACACACACACACACACACACAGACAATGTACACACAAATACATACACACATACACATACATACATATGCACACATACATACATACATACAAACATGCATATTTATACAAAATATAGGCATAGAGAGAAGTGTGTGCATATGCAAATTAAGGCACAGCTTTTGCTTACTTCACTTAAAATGTGCATATTTCAATATATTATTAAAAACGACCTTTAGGTTCATCATAATTTACTTCTTTACAATTTAATTAAACTCAAAATTATGATTTGTAAAAAGAATAAAATAAAAAGTTAGAGAGAGAGAGAGAGGGAGAGAGAGAGAGAAAGTAATTAAAACAAATTAGAATATAAATAAATTTCATCATATAAATGTGAAAAATAAAATTAATATTAAACGCAAAAGATAAAAATGAAATAATATTTAGACATAAAAGGTAAAATTGAAATAACATTGAAACACAACAATTTTTTAATATATAAAAGTTCGAAATGAAAAATAAAAGTGAAATAGCATTCAAAGATGATAAGTAAAAAAGAAAAAAACATTTAACAATTAAAAAAGTTCGAAAATTTAACAAAAAATTTGGACGAACACAAAGGATAAAGTAGAAAATGTCAAATAGTCGCAGAAAAAGAATTGAAACCACAAAATCTTTTTATTATTATAAATTTAAATTTAAATTTAAATTTAAATTTTAGGGTTTTTTTCGTTTCCTTTTTTGTACACTAAATAATTTGAATATATGTTAAAATATATTATTGATTGAATTTTATCTTCCACCTTCTTTGAATCAAAATTTCCGAAAGATTCCCCGAAAACTTATCGGTGAAAATTTAAAAGAAAATGACGAATATATTTCTTATACATTGCACTTTGCTAAATTCGCCATTAGCAGAAAGGCTAATTTATCATTTTTCTTTTTTAAATTCAACGATCTTAATGGTTTTTTGTTTATTTCATGGCAATTATAACATATCCGATATTTGACAGATATTCAGTTCATCTGATAGGAAAAGTATAAAGTCTTTATTTTAAACATTATCACTAAATGATCGTTGATAAAATCTGCTGATTATACTTTAGCTTCATATAAAAGCTTTAATAGTTAAAAATTAAAAGCTGACATAGACATTTTATACTGTTTAGTTAAAATGTATTTTATAAATGAAAAGAAAGAAACGCAAAACGATGTATATTTTATTACAAAACGATATTTAATCAAAATTTACATGAAATAAAAATTATAATAATTTTTTTTTTAATACTTAAACTTTGATTATAATTTGCGGTAATTACCTTTCATTTGCAGCTTTAAAGTGAAATTAAATGAATTGAGGAATTACTATTGTCCAGAATAAGCTTTTTATAGAATTAATCATTTTTAATGAGAATTTGTAATTTTAATATTTTATCTTGCGCAGGCATAATTTGCTACATCAAAGCTGAAATATAGTAGAAGTAATTTCTTCCATCAGCACAAATATCGCTTAGTTCATGCAATAGTTCCATCACTATTAATTAAAATACTAATCGATCAATGAAAAAATATTTTTCATTGAATTTAATTTCAAAAAAAGATTGCTGAAATTGAAATTAAATGGAAAAATTCCCCATTTGAATATCATCTCTTTTTTTTTTAAAGCTTTGTTACAACTTTAACATACTCTAACGATAATGCTATTGAATAATGACATATTCTTGATCAAGAAACCAACCAGAATTTTCCATCTTTATAACTTATTGCTGCAAAGATTCACATTCAGCAATTCCGCAACTCTAATAATAATAAGCTGACTAGTTTGATGTCTCATATCGATCAGAAACTTATTCAACATAGAATCATTTGTGATATATATTTATGCTTAACTATAAATCGATTTGTCCGTATTTATCAGTTTCTACGTAGCTTGTTCTCTGTTTTTCAGATGCCCAAACTAAATTATCTTCTTTTAAAAGCTCAATTCATCTTAATATTCTTGTTCCTAATTTTTCATTTTTTATGACCTTTATCTGGAACGTATTCCATATATCACCATTAGCCGCAGCAAGTTTTTTTTTATCAATTTCTTCACCATCTTTTATCGTTTATCATTAGCATTTATGGGTTGCATGTATGTAGAAATCAAAAATCAGTTGAGCACGACAAGCAATCAAACAATTTTAACCAAAAAATTGATAAATGGCTCTATGATATTGTTAAAGACCTCTTGGACAATGGAAACATTCTTGACAGTTTATATGATCTTTATGTGAACCTTTCTAATATCCTTGATACTTCTTCTCACCACGTACGATCAAATTGCGTAACTCATCATCATCACGTTTCGATGAACCACTGGATAAAGCAGCCTTATCCTAAAAATTCAATTGACTTTATTCTGTTTTTGTATGATATCATCAAAATTAGTCACAATTGGCTAATTCATGTGTGTTACTCCAATTAGTTCCTGTCCATTAGTGTTACTATTAAGTTACTTTAAATTACTTTAAAGTCCTGATGACAGATTAGTAATTATGCATATTTCTTTAGATTTCGATTAGAAGTGAACTTTTTTCAAACGTATTCGAGTAAGACTGTTTTGATTGCAAAACAGTTAGTGCAAATACATTTGAGAATAATACTAACAATTCTATTTTGTTTATTAAATTTTTGATTTAAAAAGATAGCTTCTTCTAAATTTCTACTGAACAAAAAAATGATTAAATTAAACCTGATCAGTTTTTTCTTCAGACATAATATTATCTTTATCATCTTCTTCTATCAAATTATCATCATCCACTTCAGATTCTGTTTCTGATATACTTTCTCTCACTGAAATATCCAATTTCTTGCAGTTAAAATTCATTCAATGCACAATTTTCAGCGGTGTTTCATATTTGTTTACTTACATTCTTGAATTTACAACCATTCAAAGCCACATGAAGCAAATTTATTACTATTGGTTAAATGAACATTCAAATGCTTCAATATATCACTGCCATTATGACAACTGTGATAATAACGCAGTGATCGTTCAGAAGCTCATTTTTGGTAGTGTATGACGAGAAGAAGAAATAGCTCAATGAATACTTCTATAAAATAAGAAAATCTCTTGAGATAAATGGAACGAAAAAAGTATTTCTTTTACTTCGAAGAAAAATGAATCCAATTGCTAAATGTTTTGATTAACAAAGTGATACGAGCAAATCCAATAAAAATCAATCAGTTATCAGTTATCAGTTGTCAATTATCGCCCCACTTCGAATATTAGTAAATTATAATAAATTATAGATAAAAAAAGCTCAAAGCATAAATATGCTCTGACTCAGTGAGTTCAATCCCAGGATATGTAAATTTTTTAGATTATGTAAGAAAATATGTTTTAACTGATTGATTTACAGTTAGGTCAAATTTGTGATAACTAGATTTGTTATTGCTTTATTGAATACCTGTAAAAGAGAGAATTCTAAATAATGCTTGCAAACTTTTGCTTTGATGCAAATTTCTATTAAATAATTAATATTCCATAATTTTTCATATATCACATAGAAAAGCAAAAATTTGGAATGACTTTTTCATTTCAGTAATATTTATTTGAAATAAACTGCGTGCAAAAAAGCCATGCAAAAAAAAAGAAAAAAAATATGCAAATGCTTGAAAGCAGACTTGCTTGAACTCGTGATCGTGCAATATTGGATTGCAGTTCCAACATGCGCAGTATAGGTGATGTTAGTACGTCACCCAACCGCGACGTTTCATTTTGTTTTCCTGGAGACGTAGTTAAAAGGCATAGAAATTTGATAAGTGCAAATTGCTCTCAAAACATGTTAGAATCTTTGATACAGGCGAGCTACGCATGTGACACAGAAATCTACTCATCGCAAGCAAAGAAATAACATAAAATATTACTTTCTTCCAAATACTCTTACCCTTTTTTAGTCTTCTAAATACTCTTTCTTACCAATCTAAAATGAAATAATCAACTTATCAATTAAAAATAAAATGCCTTACCAAGAATACCAATTTTTTGTCCAAGCCATCGTGCTTTCTGAACCACATCATCTTGCATCAATTTGAAACACATTGCGATTAATGCCATACCAAATAGTAAATACAATGCACATACAATTAGCTTTTCTTGTGAACCTTCACCGAGACTTTGCCCGGGTACTATATCACCAAAACCGATCGTACTGCAAATTGAAAGTGAAAATTTCATCAAGGAATCTGTAAAATTTAGAAAGTACAAAGTTGAAAGTTTAAAAATTTAGAATTTGTATATTTTCGAAACCTTATAGACATATCATTATCATTATTCAGTGCAGTATATTGCTGGATCATCATATTCTGATGTATCCTAATATCATTCTCCGAAAACATTTTATATTAAGTGATAAATCAAAAATAATGATTTTTCAGCAAAAATCTTGATCATATTTGGATTTGGAATCGATGAACCAGCAAACATTCACAATACTTTATCATTTTACACCGTGATGACCAAAGGTCAATTTTGATTTTGTGACCGTTTAATTATTCAAATTAAAATTATTAGAATGATAAAATAGATATCACCATCGATTATTTTGTTATTAATACATACGAGTGAACTTACCTTAAAGTGATAAATGAGTAGTATGCACCGTCGAAAAGATTCCAATCTTCCCAAACAGCGAATAAAATGGCACCACCGGCAATAAACAAAATAACCGTTATTATTCCAACCGAAAGCGGCATTTTTTCGCGTTTATATGGTATGCCCCTACGTCTTATTGACCGTAATGACATGTCATCAGACCGTTCGCTACCCACACTGTGAAACGATCGACTATCTGGTATTTCTTGGCGAATTCCAAAAAGATATGAGAACTTCTTTTTCAATATAAATTATCAGGAAAGAACCGTCCAATTATTTATTCAATATAAATTATTAGGAATAAAAGCATAGATTGATTTCTTCAAAATATTTGAAGATCTTAAATGTGCTCATCAGGAAATCTGGCGTATGGAAGTTACTCTCATCAGAAAGTCTGACCGGTATATATGGAAAATAGAGACGTCAGGTCAGGAGTTTGCGAACCAAATGTAATAGAGAATGGCTTTTTTCTGAATAGTATTAATGTTTTTCCGCAAAATGTTTTCAGTTATTATTCTAATTCTTGGTTGTACTTGTTTTGCCACTAAATTCTAGCATCACTGATATTGACTATCAATTACGAAAAATTACGAAAGACAAATATCATCTTTTGCTTAAAACAATTTTTAAAATTACTTTTTCAAAAAAGAACTGTCGAAGGATGGCGGTTTGTTTGTTGTGTTCATTACGCAGTTAATGGCAATGCCTGTTGATTGCTGTTGTGTTGATTCCTGTGAAGATGATGCTCCTGAATTTTATTTCTAAGCCGATGAAAAATTCATTTATGCTCTTATTAATTAAATTTTAATACTTTAATTCAAAACCATTCATTAGCTTAAGTTAATTACGCCTGTGATCACGAATCAAAATTACGTGTCATATTACAAACAGTATCAGTTTTGCAAAATGACCATAAAATTAGCACTAAGATTTTATAAAGGCGAAAGCAAATAAAATTGGATTGAATGAAAATAAATGATTGAAGTAATCCAACAAAAACATACTTTCTGCCTGTTCTTCTTCCTTAATTGTAGCTGTAACAATTGATGATTGTTCGATATTGTTCGAAATCCTTTTCTGCAATTAACCAATCTATTCTATTTTCCTAATATGCGAAATATTTTTCATAATATCTTCTGTAAATCAATAACCAATAAATTTGTTTATTTCAAGAAATTTTAATAAAGAAATTACGGAGTGATAGTAAAATGTCAAATTTTATTTAGCCAGTAAAATTAGACAAAAAAAAGATATAAATATTATCACATATCGTACACTGATACAATATGTAATCTAACAGCTTATTGAATTCAAAAATAAGAATTAATTTAGTCGATTTTAACCTTAACTTTTGCCATCTAAACGATACTTCATAAGTTTGATAAACGATGTTTACAGTCATTTTTTGAAAAAATAAGAAAAGGATGAAAATAACCTGGTGATTAGTTTCATCTTTCTCTTCCACATCATTAACTGTAATTTGTGGTAATCTTATCGAATCACTTTCCTTTCTGTTTGAATTACTTACACGTTGACTAAAAATTCGAACTTAATTTTTTAACTGCCAGAAATTTCAACATTAACTTATAATATGTTTTTAAACAAATTTCAATCAATGATCTATAAATATATTTTAGTGCCAAAGTTCAACTATCCTCTCCCTTAATGTGAAATGTTAGCAAGCTTTGGTATATGAAAGATCAGGTTTAAAAGTCTCAAGTCAACCAAAAAAGATGCTTCATTTGTGAAAGGTGATAGGATCATGAATAATTCGATGCTTTCATTATTCCAGGTAAATTTAAAGTTACAATTCAATGATCCATTGCAAAGTCGTTAACATCGGCAAAGAATTAAAACAATCTCCATTAGCGACATTAATAATCTTAAGGATTTGGATGATTCCAAGTTTTTTCTTTCAAGTTAAGTATACTGAAATAAAAATTTACTTAATGATTCTTGGTGTAACTGTTGACATGTCCTTTTCCTTTTCTTCCTTTAGTCGAGCTTTGGCTCTAACAATAATAAGCAATGTTAATAACGGAATAATAATAATAATATAGTAATGTTAAAAGTTACTAAAAATGATAAATGATTATTTCTTCCAATCAGTTATTACTTTTCTAATTAATGATTAAGGCTGTATGAATGTTTTTGAGGATAAACAAGAAACTGAATAATTTCTATTCAAATGAATCATATAAATAAGAATCGAATGAATAATTTCTCAATGCTAAATATTCAAATACCAAAAATAAACAAATGTGATTCGTAGAGATGAATAGTTCAAATTCAAAATTTTTAATGATAAACCTTAGTTGTGGCACCGAAATGTAGCCAGTAACATTAGAAGGTAAATTAGTTGATGTTCCAGCAATATTACCACCATAAGTTTTAAGTTCAACGAAGGCACCACGTGGTTTACCATTATTTTGATAACGCACTGGTATACCACCTGAAAATATTTAAATTTTTCTGAAAATAAAATGATAGAATTTATTGGTACATAAAATGATTGAATTTCGAGTCAGTCCATAAAAAATTCAGTTATCAATGAAAGATGATAATATTATATTTCTATTAGCTTCATCTCTTGTGTATATAAATAAAGAATTGTAATTTTAGTGAAAATTTTTTGAATAATCAAATTTAGAAATATTCAAGGTAGACAAATGAATAAGCAAACATTTTTAGGTAATAGTATTGCTTCCATTTTAATAATACCAATAAAATAATTAAATAAAATTTAACAAATAACAGAATTAAGTAAATGCGGGACTGTAAATGTGGAAAAATTAGATATTGAATTTTTTATTAACACACGAATTACTAATTGTTATTATTTTATTAATCAAATTTTACAACATTTCTCATCCATTAACGAAATAAGTAATCATTCGTATACTATAATTTAATCCGTTATATTTCAAATACGTGTGATAATTTTAATCTAATTTTAAATATGAATAATTTATGCCTTTTGAAGAGATGTATGAATGTTCAGTAGCAAGCCTTGCTGATAAATTACAACAACCTCGCCTCTGGTCAAATTCGCCATCACTGCGAAGTAAAGAATCGCGTAATGATAGATCATTTAAACGGATCCGATTTGCTAGACTTGCTATTCTTGTCTTTCTCCTTAATGATAATCTGAAACATTCGATTTTCATGTTAAAAATTCATTTTCTGAGCTTTCTTTTAAAGAGTACATAAATGTATTTTGTAATAACTCAACAATTTTCTTTTTTTGTAGTTTCCTTCAAATAAAATTTTAAAAATTGAAATTAAAACATTTTCAATTATTATATAAAGTTTTGGTAAATAAATTTTATGCATATTTTATGATGAATTTTAACGAAACAATTTACTTATGGTTGGTATCATACGACGTTCGAGCGTTATAAGTTGCGAAATTTCTACGTCCTGGTAATGAAGTTGTGTCAAATTTATTATTAAAGCTTCGTGAGCTATGAATACTTTTCGTGTCGCTCAAAATACTTTTCATACGTGTTCCGTACATTCGCGTCAAACTTCCATGCCGACGTATTCCAGAATAACGTTGATTGTAGCGACTTGGTGGAACTAAATATGCAATTAAATCGTGCTGACCATTGGTTAGTGTTTGGTATTGGTCAACTCTATAGCATGTCAACAACACATTTAAACTTTATAGAAAAGGCGGAATTTAATACACTAAATATTTAATGCAAATAAAGTAAATAAATCTGAAAATTTGCTGATAATTTTTCACTCTGTAAAGAGGAAAAAGTGAATTCTTTGTTTTCAAATTAAAACTAATAAATTAATTAGACAAAAATTTATTACGTTAAATTGAAAAAATGTGAATTGAATAAGGGAAAAAAAAAGATACAGACCTCTTCTAGCGTTTATCGGTGCATTGGGATGATAGCGGAAACTGATTGCTGAACGACGAACACGACGACGATTTTGTTGCCATCGACAATATGCACAACAAACTTTGAAATATACAAACGTAAATACCTGCAACAAACGTTGTTAAATAATATTTAAGCACATAACAAATCTTTTAGCGTGGATAGAACTTTATCATCTTTAATAATCACTATTTGATAAAATGATAATTATCCCAAATAGTTATAGTGATATATTTTTTTTTTAAATGTAAAATTATGATCGTTTCATTTAGTTACAATGATTATTTCTTATTTTACACATCGGTGGACTAGAAATAACAAATACGTGAAATTTAATAATCAATACGGTAAGCTTTTTTCACGACGCTTAATCTACCGTATTCCGACGTCGGAAATGAAATCTCTTCCTATTATCTAAAGTCACTCTTCTCATTTCTCCTCATTAATTTTGCATAATATCAATGAGAAAGATAACAGAGAGAATAAAAAAAATGTGTGAATCAAAATTATACTACAAAAGTCTTAACATTACAATAACATTTCAAAATTAATTACTTTTAATGAAATTGTACAGATTTTAAATATTCTCAAATTCCATTAATTTATAATAAAAAGAAAGAATTTAGACTGAAAGACTAGAAATCTTCGTTATCTCATTGATCACTGCTGTTATCACTTATAATTTGATCAAATCTTTCTTAGGAAAAAAAACCTAATTGCTTTTGAATTTTTCCACTTTAATGAATATTTTCTTAAGGCAATGTAATGATTGAAGAATTATGCAAATGCAATTTGTGATATTTTGATTTGAGAGAAACAAAAGAAAAATCAAAAATATTTAATTCAAAATAATAATAATATTCTTCGCAAGAGAAAATTAATATAAAGCATAAAACGAATAATTTTCTTTATATTTAAAGACTGGATTAAAATTTAAAGCAAATTTCTGTCTAGAAAAAGAGAATGTCAGATAAGAAGAAGAAGAGAGAAAATTTGTAGAGAAAAATTGAAATAAAATATTTAGGCTAATTTGAAAATAAATTACACTAACAAAATAAAAAATATTAATTCGAAAAAAATATTAATTCAATTTTTGATAATAAATATAAGATAAAACCTTTCTACGATACCATTTTATCATATCATTAATCTTAACAATTTTGCATAATAATTGCGATAGTTACTACCTGAGCAAGGCTTTCGGCAATATTTGCTAAGCAGAGCAACATGAGAGGTATACCAAACATTGCATATAACATTGTCATACCACGTCCCAAAGGTGTTTTTGGGCAGATATGGCCATACCCTAAAAGTTATCCTTCAACATTTTACTCTAAAAGCTCAAATTTCAATCTAAAGTAATCATCATATTTAAAGATTATATGAAAGGTCAAGCTATGGTAGGGGAATGTAACCTTTCATTCTATCATTTTATGATTACTTCTTTTCAATATTATAATTTTTAATGACTGAATGATGTAAATACAAGGATGAAATTATGAAAAATAATTAGTTGTAAATGAAAAACCCACCGATAGTTGTGAAAACAGTTATTGAAAATAATAAAGCACCAGAAAATGTCCACTGATAATTTGGTGTTATCACATCTTTATCATCGTAACCTTGAAATTAAAGAAATTTGATATTCTATTTGTTTTGTTGATAAAACATAACTTTTAAAGAGAATTTTATTGTTCAAAATTTGGAACCTTCAAAGTTGACAGCATTAACAAGTTGTAATTCGAAAACTTTAAGCAACTTATGTGCTTTGTTTTTCACTTCCGCTTCTTCGATTACATCACATGAATCGATAAACCTATACAATTCGTTTATTACCTGAAAAGATAAAACAGTATTGATATTGAAAAAGGTAGATAAACGAAATCAAAAAATGAAAAGGAATTTTCAATCAAATTATTTAAAATTTAAAACTGAAATTAAAACATTTAATGAGGTGAGAGTGTCAAAATGAATAAAGGTTAAATATTCTGAAGGATTTATTTTACGATTGCCAACAGTTTTATTCTTTCTGATTAAATGCTAAAAAGCATGCACTGAAATTAGCTGAAATTTGATTAATCAATATTTTTTTCAGGATAGTGATGACAATTCACTAAAATAAATTTAATGTCCAATTGCCAATTGCACTTACAAACGAAATGGCCTTAAAGTGGCAACAAAATATAAGTTGTAAAAAATGAAAGAAACAACTGCGATCAATCATAACGGCTCTCAGGAAAATCCCGAAGCTTTATTGGAATAATTAGAAAAAAAAATGAGTGAGTTGATTTTTATTCAGAGATGATAATAATTGATGCCAATTATCATTCGAGCTTGATTTATAAGCTCACAGATATTTCCTGTCCTCTTTGATCTTTTTTTAAATCTCAGGATCAAATTTTAGATTTGAAATTAAGCATTAAAAATCTTTAATGAGAGTTCGAAATTTTGAACTGAGTGCACTCTGATTTTTCCTCTTCCTCTCTCTCTCTCTATATATATATAAAAACATATGAATATATATATATCTTATAAGTACATAGTTTTAGCTGCAAGTAATTTAATATAACTATATATAGTTAGTTATAAGCAGAATATATTCCATTTTATGCTTTTTTGTAAATTATCAATTAATGGCATTTGTTTCGGAAAAAATAAAGAAATTGTTTCCAGACAGCAATTTAAATTGATTTATAGAGGAAAAAGAAATATATACTTTGTAAATATAAGTTTTCAATAAGTTATTACTTAGCAAATTTATAGCGAAGAAAGTTAATCAATTATTACCTGTGATAATTACAAGATTAAGGATGATAAGATTCACTAGAGTTACGTCAATTAGAAAATAATAATAATTTGTTTTATTTTAAACTGCAATCCTTGTGAGTATTATCAGTTAAAATGAACGTACTAATTTATGTTTTGACACAATCTAACATATTTTTAAAATATAAACGCTTAGCATCAATCTTTTATTTTATTCTACATGACTAAGCATCGAGTCTTTTGTTTAAATCGTTAATTATTAATGAAGTACGAATGGATTTTTTTCCATTCAATTCATAATATTATTCAATTTAATTTAGAAATGATAGAAAAATATTTTGTTCCATTTTTTCGTTACAGCAAAAATTAGCAAAATGATATAAGAGCGATCGAAGAAAAAGGTTTAATTTGCAAATCGAACTATTACAATTCATACATTTAGCAACTTTTTTTTTTAAATAATAAATTCATATTAAGAAAGCTTTGTTCAAAGAAGAAAAACACAAATAAAGTTAAAATTAGAAATTAAAAGAATGTTTTAACAAACTTGCCGTCCACGTATCATTCTCTATATGCCCCTGAAATTTCAATTCTTCAGGATATTCGATTTCGCGAAACATAAATGCTCCGAGAACAGCGTATGCAGCAACTAATACACACAATCCAATATGAGTAATGATAAATCCGAAAATCTATAATTAATTGATAAATTTATCATTTATTGTTTAAAGCAAAAAACTTAAGTTAATTAATTTCTTCATGCAATTTTGAATTTAATTTAGAAAAAAAATTTATTAGAAATTTTCTTTTAAATTAAATTTCTAAACAAAATGAAAAGCATTGATCCGTTATGGCATAAAGCTTTAAAAATCAATCAATTTTACTGGCTTTAAATTTCAATTTAAAAGTTATACTTCAAATTTGCTAATCAGTGGAAAAATAATAAATTATAGTAGAATACGAAATAGGTGTTAGCAGCAGCAAAATCTCATACAACAAATTACTTTCAGTCTATTAACAAAAACAATGAAATCTTCAATTAAGCTTATTTATTTTACTAATTCAACTAACTAATCAAGATCATCCAAAAATAATATATTATTTCATGTAATATTTACTTTCAAATTGTATAAATAAGTAGAAATTTGAAATCATGCTAATATCAGTGTTACAATACATTTGAATGATATAATTGAAATGAAATTTGATAAGATACCTTTTTTAGAAAGTTTATCGTTCGCAAGCAGTATGATCGAATTTCATTGCGCATTTCCAATGGGTGCGTATTATACGCACCCCAAAATAAATTAGTCAACAAAATAATTCAAATTTTTAGCAAAAATTTGTGTTAAAAAAAGTGGAAAAAACTTTTCGTAAGACAAAAAACTTCCGAAACGACGAACGTGAAATCTAATTTCAGGAATAGAAATAATTAAAGTTCATAGTTTTAATGTTCAATTTGCATTAAGAAGATGACGAGGAAAAATAAGAATAGTTAGTTGATGGATAGGGATTGACGAAATGCAGAAAGATGTGATTCAGTGGTTATTGCTGTTGTTGTCGTTATCTGCTTTAGTTTTAAGAAACGAATGGCATGCATCAGTGATGAGGGATGGCAATCTTTGCTTGGCTGTCTCACATTTCAATAGGCCAAGCCTGGGATAAATATGTTGTGTAGCCAAATTAGCTCAGCTAGGAACCATATAACATCTCATCTTTGTTATCCTCACAACCAAAAGCATTACCACTCTATTCTATAATCCTTCCAAATTTTATTCCTAAACTTGGAGGCTTTTGAATCTTACAAATCTCTTCCATCTCCGATCTTCTCTTCAGCCACAGGCCATGGGCCATTCATGTTTGCTTTCACGTCTTTTATTCCTATCCTACTATTTAGTGTACTTATTTGTGCATTTTTAGTTACAAAAAATTATAAGCCGTAAAAAAAAGTGACATAATGTTGGATTGTTTAGCCAAGCCCAGCTGGGCTTTCCAAATACAACATTATTAGAGGGGAGTGAAAAGAATATGCATTTGGAATAAGAAGGAAGTAAAGCTTTAATCACTTTATAACTACACCGATACTTGTTGCCAAAGCTGTAATCTTCCTGCGTCATAAATCTTTAGGCCCTTTATATTTCTTCCCTTTACTTTATCAACAATTTATCTATTCCATTGATTAATTTATCTTTCTGTAGTCGGAGAAAACGATTATTTCATTCACTGAGCCAGCGAAACCTTTATCAAATAATATATTGTATCATACATTATATATCTATTTCTATTCCCTTATCATCACCCATCTTTTAGTCTAGAAGTATTCGAATTCGAATATGACAACGATTACAGAATCATTATGATTCGTTTCATGAAAGATTATGAAAAAATTGATGCTTCTGTGGAATTGCAAGTAAAAATTAACATTAACAAGTACCAATAGTTGTATAATAATATTGGGAAGCATTCAAAATTTTACTGAAAATAAATGGGATGAAACTTTAAAAAATAAACTTAATAATTTTATTTAATTTAAACCATTTTTTCACCATGAATAAGTAAATGATATCCGTTTGATAACAGTAACAAATTCAAATGAATTTTAACAAAGATTTGATGAGAGAACAATAAAAATGGAAGAAGTAAACGATCTCTTCAAATAAGAAATTTTGCATGCTAAAATTCTTATAAATATAAATATGTGATAATTGAATTAACAATTAATTCATCAATTCGAATTCCATTTAATAGACATTCATATTTATATTTGATATTATATTAAAGAAAAATTAAATGATTTTACCTTTTTGTGTATTTATTTTTTTCCTTCTTTAATAGCCAAAAATCTTCTGACTTAATTAATTAATTAGTTAAGTTTCACAATCATACTTTGTTTAATTAATATTTTACTCACTTCTTTGTAGTAAGAAAAAAAGAAAAAGAAAACAAAATTAATTAAATCGAAGAAAAATTCTTTATTGTAAATATGTTTTTGCTAATTAATTTCAATTTTCAGATCAAATATTGCAATAAAACAATAAAATTTAAAATTAAATTTGAGAGAAACTTCTTTTGCAATAATAATTAACAACGAATGCGATAGGAATGTAATTAATTGCTCTGTCACGAATTATTTGTTTTTTAAACTTTCAATAAGAACTATTATTAGTGATATTAATGTACAACATCTTACTGTTGCCATTTATCAATTTTATACTATACTACAATTTCTTGTATCATTGCATACTTTTCTGCTTTACTACAAACTATGCAGCAATTTTGATGAATTATAATACAATTGAAAAAAAAGAAAAATTTAATTCTGTTAGTTAATCTTTATTTCAACCTATAGTGCTAAGCTTAAAATAATTTAATTTTTAGGCTAAATTTTCATAAAATAATTTGACCACAACTATATTCATTAAAGGAGGTTGAAATTTACTTTATTATCATTGTATAATCGGATCACGGAGCATAAAAATGATTGCCTTTAACAATTTTTGAAATTGGTGCATCACAATTCTCGTCACTCTTCCTAAATCGAGCATCAATCAACTGAAGAATGAAATCGCCGGATACATGTACAAATTCGTAACTTCCAATTGAAGCCACGCAATCAACTTTACTGAAAAAGCAATCCAAATTTTTACTAATACAAAATCATTTCCATTGCAAAAAATTAATTAGTAGTTTGGATGATACATTAGATGAAATAAATAAACGATTTATATACAAATAAATAGTTGAAGTATTTTTATACAGAAATCTGTCGAGATATAATATTTTGAAGGCTTTTCTTAGTATCAGAAAGTCTCTGATTTTTGATTTTTTCGGATAGATAAATTTGATCAGTTTTTTTTGATGGTCGATATTCCCGTAATATATGCTAATAACGTAAAAAGTTTGTTTGAAAATATAAGAAGCTGGCTTATGTGCTATAAAATCTACTTGCAATAATTATTCTTAATATTTGAACAATAGCCAGAAAGTTTCAAACCTCTTCAATTTAAGGTAACAAACGTGAGGCGTCATGCAACGTGATACTTTTAACTTAAAATGCTCCTTGTTAATTTCGATCACGCACTCATCAAAATCCTTCAACGTTTCAATCAAAGAGCCATTCATCCGCTGTTTCGCAATGATTCGAAGTGTTGTTTGAAGCCGTTTTTGGAAATTTCTAAAAATTAATCTATAGTTTTGAAACTAATTGCATTGACCCAAAAATTGGATGGCGTGAAATTCGCTTCATTAGGATCGTCACTTTTCACTTGCCACATATTATCTTCTTCATAACTTATGGTGCTTTCAAGAGACCACACATTCTCAGGGAATTTTTAACAATTTTAAACTTATTCAAAAATAATAATTAAAATTGTTATACTTGGTCTACCCGCCTATTTAAATGAATTAACTTTAATTAGCAATCACTTAGAAATTTTCTTTCATTTCTATTTTATATTCTAAACAATCTGCGAGGAATAAAATTTAGTTGAAATGAGAAATTGAATTAGAAAAAAGTAGAAATTTACGTGTTGAGCAATCGTATCAAATTACTCATATTTAAATATTGTCCTGTTGATTGTTCCCGAAATGAATGTCGCATATGGTAGAAATGTGCTCGATGACATGGAATTCTCACCTGTCAACATCTCTTTCTTTTATATAATTACCATTGTTTGAAACTATGGTAAAATAAATGAATTAAACATTAAAATTGATGAAATAATAAGAGATGATTAAAAAGTAATTTTTTTAAATTTATAATTCTCTCAAATATACTTGTACGTAACCGAAACGGTTAATTCCGCTTTCATGCATATTAACAGTATCCACACGACCTGAAATAACTGTCATAATATCATGAAATTAATAAAATCTTAATTCTAAAATTAAATTATTGAAAATTCATTTTGAAAAACTGGAAAAGAAAAATAATTCGAAATTTAACGTTATTACAAATAAACAATTTCTCTTAGATAACCGCAAAATTTGCTCATTTAATGTAAATTTTTTAAAAAATTTTAGATTTTAGAAAAAATGTAAAATTTTAATGTAAATTAATTTTTTTCAACTATTTGAAAACAAAAATAAGTAAAGGAAAGCATTGTTTTTAAACACAAAATATTTAATTATATAATTAAATTACATTTATTTAAAATATCAGTGAAAAGAATCATTTTCTCTTTTGTCAGATTATTTTGTCCATTTTTGAATAATTTGCTATTTAAATTTGAATTGTTTACCAATAAATTCCTCTAAATAATAAATTATATTTTTAACTAATGTCTTTGGAAGAGATCGCTACTGATAATCCAAAATGATAAATTTGCTAAATTGCAAGAAAATTGATAGATTTGAAATTCACTTGCATTCACGATAACACGTGTTTTCATACGCCATACTGTACATTCTTTTTTCCTATTTGCATTAATCAAGAAATTGAAATTGAAATTATCTAACTGCAACATTTCTTCATCTTCAGGTAGTACCATTCGTACGTCACGATGTTCGAAAAGGAAAGATCCAGCTTGTGGATGCTCATTTGCAAGATTCTGAAAATATAAAATTTAAAGATTATTATATTTCCTTTTATTTATGCTCTAATTTTTTTGGATTTAACTTTCACCGCTATTCATTAGGATAAAATTAATTTTTAGTTGAAAAATTTGAAACCATTTAGTATTTTATCGGTTGCATAAGCTCTTATTATATATTATTTAACTTCGTTTCATCACATCAAGTTGTATATACTTGTAGACAGCCATTTATATCCATCATTTTTTACGTAATTCTTCCATTTCTGATGTTTATTATGAAAACTAAATTAAGCATTTTTAAAACTTAAATTCGAGCAAATGAAATTTCGAACAAAATTTGAAAAGAATATTAAATGATATGATTTTGCAATTTCCCTTCGAACCTGTATTATATCAATATTCATATTTGGATAAATTTTCATAGGTTCTGTTGGAATTAAAATATCATCCAAATCGGTGAATGCTATCATTTCAGCCCATGGCTTAGCAAAAAACAAACAATTCACATGTGATTCTTCAATTCCTGAAGAATGAAAAATGGAATTATTTCAATTAACAAAAACAAAACTTCAAAAATTTTCAATTGATAATTTATTCATTTAAAAAATTATCTTTTTATAATTTCAGTTATAGGAAAGCAAACATTTTTACCTCTTGATAAAACTAAACCATTTGGATTTTTATCTGATAATATTGGCCATTTAGGCCAATGACGTAAAATAACTAATCCTGAAAAACTTTTCAATTTGTCATCAAAGTAGAAGAAATATATCAAATCGTATGATATCATTTGTTTTTCTTCTTATAAACTTCTCATTAAATTTTACTATTAACTTGTGAAAATTCATTATTTCACTTGCTAAAATTTTATTCGTTACTTTACTAACACTTAATAAAATTATCAAAACAAAAAAATTTTTTCCTTAAAACTTCTTTATGCTCATTAATAGTTCTACGATTTAAATTGGATAGAGAAAACGTAAAAAATATGTGAAATTAAAAGTATTATGATAAACGTGAACAACGTGAACTTGCCATCTTGTTCATATTCCCGAAGTATTTTAAATGCATCTCTTGAAATAGACTGTATCGGAATAATAATTTTGGTAGAACCAAGTGCAAGCCATATTTCAATGCCAAGAAGTAATATGCGCCATTCCATAAGCGCATATGTTGGTGCCATACAAACAACCAATTTATGTCGCTTATTCTTCAATACCTTTTCAATTGGTATTTTAAGTGATTCCTTCACATTACGTTTTGTACTTACTCTATAATTTTCCTCTTTTTGTGTTAAATCTCTAGTGATAAGTTCTTGAAAATATAATAGTAGGGAAAAAAGTTGATAAATTAAATTTCGAAAAACAATTATATCATTTTGTTGAAATTTGTTTATTTCCTAAAAAAGGTTTTATCAATTTAAAAATCTCTAAAAATATCTTAATTATGCACGTTGAACAATCTTTAATATATATCACAATAATCATTCAGATTAATAATTTAACAGAAATTCTCAATAATCCTTTTAGGGTAAGGTAATTAAAAATTCAAAATGTATTTATTTATCAAAAGACATTTCAAATGTATTTGTAAATTTTCAAATTTTTAATTCCAAAAATGTAGCACTAAATAGTATAGATGAGAATTATTATCAGCAAATCATCTACTAGAATTAACGATATGATAACATTATACTAAAATGTTTGCGACAAAGAAAGATAAATTTGTTAACGAATGATTGGTGCAATAAAACAACAACAATCATTACTATTGCATATAATAAATTCACCGTATAAATGGTAAAGATTGATCTACGACACGACATTCAGCAATAAAGCCAGCCATAGAACAGATATCGTTTACAAATCGCTTTCCTTGATGTATCCGCTGAATATGAGCCTGATAAACAAATTTTTTACCATTTTCGTTTGTTGAAAAGCAATACAAACGATATGTTTGTTGTACATCACCGAGAAATTGAAAGACCTAAAATAATATTAGCAATGCATATTATATTTTAAAATTCATAAAATTTATTGCTATTAATCTAAGGCTAATCTAAAAACAGTATATGAATAAGCCAAGCATTTCATTTAGTTTCAACTGTAAATATAAGTAACGACCACATAGTTTCCCGGAATATTCTGTTCCATGTTAGTTCGGTGAAAAGCACCCAAAATAATCGGTCTGAGTGGATTTTTTCGAGATAAAAATGCATCACCCATGTTTTTTAACGTCCAAATATTGGTGGTACGATAGTAAAGTGCTATCGCACACAATAATCCAGTTAATATAAAGCATCCTTTCGAAAATAGATGAATTAAGGTAAAGAAATTGAAGTGTAATTGGTATGGTAAGTAGAAGGAACGGAATAAGCGTTGACAAATTAACATTCCGGATGAATTAATGACATCAGCGAATGCTTCAAATTTACAACCTATTTCATTCCTGCAACTTTATCAATTTATCTTTTTTGACTAATAAGAAGAGGTTTGTTTACTTTCATGAATGAAATCATTTCCTTTCATTCTTGCAGAAACATTTGTTTGTATTATGAATTATGATAATTGATTAACATAGGCAGCAAAAAAATCTAGCAAATTTAACAGATATGGCAATTCCGGAATAATACATACATGTGAATATCCTGAAAATTAGATCAAGAAATGGAAGATAACAATAGATGCATGTACTAATTGATAATAGCAATTCAAACATTTCAGTTAGTAAAGGATCCATCCTATTTTAGATAGTATCCGTAATAGACAATTATTTTTTTATGTTTAATAAACAAAGAAGTAAGTCAAAATATAATTTAGTGTGAATTAAAGATTTAAAACAAAAAATAAACTGCATGGAATTAAAATAAAACAAAAGGAATATTTAACGATGAGGGAAAATGTCATACAAAATGCAGAAAAAAGGCGTATTTTGAAAAATCTAAATTTAGCTAAAGAGTATGATTATTAGTTTAGCGAAAACATTGACGTTAATAGCTATTTATAAGTAATACATTGTCACTTTAAAATTTTTTTTTAAAATGCTTATCAGCATATTGCAATTCCAACGGATAATAATTTAAAACTTATCACATAGAATGGTTGAGTTATGTGATCATCCGTCATTGCTTGTGATAGCATAAAAATCACTCTAAAATGATTTAAAATGATACCTTAAAATGGTATATATCTCCACGATTGTCTGCTGCCTTACGTTATTATCATATATTATTGCAATATAATTACCTTTATCATGTGATACACGACTATATTTTGCATGCTATCAGTTACGACTGCATCCGTAGAAATAAAGTTTTTCACTTTAAACACTGATATTAATATTAAGTGATAACGAGTCATTTATATGATTATTATCTGTCATATTTATCCGTTTTTAATGATTATATGATATCTCTTTTACAATATGAAATTATCAAAAGTTGTAAATTTAAAGAAAAGAGGAAGAAATGGTAATGAAATAATAAAATGAAATGAAATATTTAGTCGAATACAGAAAATGGAAATAGATTAGAGGCAATGTTCTTGATGACCATGACATCTCCGAAGAATGACCATAACATTTACTAACTATAAATATTCCTCTCATCTATCATTATCTCATATAAGATACTTTTAATTAAGTATTTATTCTGTTACTATACTGTTACTTTTAATATAAATCTCAATTATAAGCTAATATTTCATAAATTTTTGAATAAAATTCCAAAAAATTTTATTATTTCAATTAAAGGTAACTAATTACACAGTAATAACAGAGTAATTAATGATCGATTTAAATAATACAACAAATATCTTTGATAAATATTATCGTTCACATTTTGATAGTTCAATACTGCTGGTGGTAGTAGTAGAAATTAATGCAATAAAGAAATAGAAAATAAAAATATGCTTATTTTGAGTTTACAATTTTAAAACTTTTCATTAAGCAAAATGCAAAGAAAAAAATGAAAAATAGCTTATTGATTTCTATTTAGTAAGCGGATCATAATGCTAAATAAATTCGATGGTTTTTTTGATAATTGATAATTTCTGATAATTTTGACGATATTAGTGATATTGAATTAGCAAGCATAGTGAAACATTTCGGAATTTCAACTAATTTTATAACAATGAATATAAATTGCAAATATAATCATTTAGGGCATCAGAATGATCGATAAGAATCAATGTTAATTATTGACGAAAATATAATGAAAGTTGTAAAGTAAGTACAATTCTGTACGTTTGTCATTATCAATTGTCAAATACCTTTATCAAATGATCTCATTCATCCAATTGCATTAAATTTCATTTTTATAGACATTTTACTTCAATCAATTGATAAAATCAAATACTGATGAAGAATTATTGATAGTGATGCAATGTCTATCTGATATATTTATCAATGCATGCATGCATGTATTAATATTATTGCAATTGCAATTTGCAAATTGTGAAAATCATTTTTGATTAAATGATAACTCTGTGCATAATATTCATTTTCATCTGTGAGATTTATAGATTTTGGGAAAAATTCTATTTGCCTTCTCAAATTTGATTAATAATAATTTCACTAAAATTCTTTGCAAATAATAATTTTTCAAAAACTATACGAAATTAAAAAGTTGCAGAAATTTTCCGAAAGTTTCCAAATTTTCTTAACGCTAATAAATTGTGAAATTTTGAGAAATAAAACTTTTCTAAGAGAATTCACGAGGATGGAGAAATTTGGTAAGATTACATTAGAAGTTAAATATTCATTTATTTTATTTTCTTGATAATTTCATTGATTATCTTCTCTCTTTCTCTCTCTCTCTCTCTGATCGTATTATTGATGAAATCATTTTATACTTTAAAGAAATATCATTGAAATTTTAAAAATTATAGTTAATAAATTATAACTATCTCAATTTGCATAAAGAATAATTGAGAAGTGAAATGATATAATAAATAATTATAAAATGATATCTTTGCAAAGCATTGTGTAATGATAATGATAAGAGAAATGGGTATTGTGGATCTTTACAAACTGATAACGAGTAACTTTCATAATAAACAGAACGAAAAATTAGTGTATTGAGGTGAAGTCAAGGAAATCTGGTCATATTGTTAACTCGTCCTAAAGATTAATACATATTACATTTTATATACTATCTAATATATTACCTGTATTATATATTAACTTTTCATCATATAAGTATATATATATATATATATTGCTTTATGCTTTTTCAGTTTAAGTATTAAAATAAAAGAAATTTATTCAAATAAAGGCTTTGCAATATTACATCATTAAAATTATTTGTTTTTGATCACTCATTAAATCCTATAAAATTTTACAACGATTATTACTTCTCACTTATCATTATCACTCTTAACATTAATCAAATTGATTAAATTTTGAAATAATTTAAAACGAATACTCTCCACATCTTACGTATCATCTAATCGATGAATTCAATAAGTAACAATCATTTATTTCAATGTCATTTTATATTAATCATTAATTCCTTTGACTGTTTTCTTTTAATACGAAAACACATTTATTAAAGGGATTATTAAGTTCATAGTTCAACCGGAATGATGAAAATGAATATTATAATTAACGAAAAAATAATCTTTGTTAATTTAATCTTTTAAAATTTTATTCTGAAATTGATTGATTGACTAATTGATTGATTAATTCATTCATTTCTATCCTTTCTTCACAATTGACTATTTTATTAATAGCCTATTTGTTGCAATGATAGAATGGAAGAAGAAGAAATTAAATACATTAAACTCTGCCACAATTATTCAAGTAATCCATTATGTTAGCAATAAATTTTCCATAAATTATTGATTACTTTTCATTTTCATCGAAACAGTATAACCTAATTTTATATTCGTAAAATGTGCCAATTTGCTTATTTGCAGAAATCCAACATTATGTTAAAATATTTCTCAATTACACAATCCATCGATTGTCATTATGAAATTACCAAATAAAATTCATTCCATCATCATTTGTCTTTGTAATTATCGAATTAGTACCTCCTATTTCCTACTTTCCTTTATCATTACTAAATTATTATTTTTCATTTATCATTATTTACAATCATTATTCATCTACTCCTTCAATCATTCCTATTATATTTACTTTTATCATTTATCACTATATCTATTGTTTCCTGTATGACTGTATTTTAGGAAATTTATCTTAAATGATTTCTTACTTTTAAATGAAATTAATTTAAATGCATATTTATATAAAATTTGATGAAGAAAAATAAACTTTATTTGTTATTCATCGAATATGTGTGACTCATTTTTATATATTATATTTAAATGAATGAATGAATGATTTAGTAATTAATAAATTTCATAAAATGTAACGAACTCAAATGATTCACTTCATTTTTTTTTTAAATTGAATTTCATCTTATTTCATTTTAACTTACATTATATATTCCTTCAATTTACATTATTTCATGCATTTCTTAATTTAATTAATTAATTATTCAATGCTTTACGAATTTACAAAACTACAAACTTCCAAAACAATGAATTATTTAATTTCTATTCAGTTTTGTGTTGAATTTTCCAATCAGTTCTTTCATCCATTTCATCCTTCTTTCAATAAAGTTTTCCAATTATCTCAGCAAAAAAAATCAATGATCAATTAACAAACATTAACAATAAATAAGTGATAAATAAAGAAAATGAAGTGTATTGTTTTGGAAAACAGATTATAAAAGCGGAATAAGTCCTTTTATCCGATTATCCGATCGTTGCAATTGTGACTGCAACGAATTTATTCCGATATTCTATTAGAGAAAGCTAAGCGATAATCGAATATTCGTTTCATAAATCAGCTTGCCTTAATTTTTCAAAAGTAAAATCAACAAAAATAAAAATGAAATGCAACAAATGTTAGTTTTGGTTGAATATTGAAGCTTAACTTTTCTATTACACTGATGAAAAGACCATCGAATATGATGTGATAAATGCTTTCGTCCGATATTTTCCGGTTACAAACATTTTTGATACGTACATTTTCCCTCTTCTTTTCGTTTTCTTTTACAACAAGTTGATAATAGCAAATCATTTACATGATATTAATGGCAGGTTTATTGCTAGTGTTTAAAATTTAGTAATTATTTAGGTATCATTTGAAATGATTCTATTTGTAGGGTTTTTATGATTATTGAAGAATAATTAATTTTGTGTAAACGATGATTATATAT